GTCCACGTCCACGTCCACGTCCACGTCCAGTCCACGTCCACGTCCACGTCCACGTCCACGTCCACGTCCACGTCCACGTCCACGTCCACGTCCACGTCCACGTCCACGTCCACGCACGTCCACGTCCAGTCCACGTCCACGTCCACGTCCACGTCACGTCCACGTCCACGTCCACGTCCACGTCCACGTCCACGTCCACGTCCACGTCCACGTCCACGTTTCCACGTCCACGTCCATGTCCACGTCCACGTCCACGTCCATGTCCACGTCCACGTCCACGTCCACGTCCACGTCCACGTCCACGTCCACGTCCACGTCCACGTCCACGTCCACGTCCATGTCCACGTCCACGTCCACGTCCACGTCCACGTCCATGTCCACGTCCACGTCCACGTCCACGTCCACGTCCACGTCCACGTCCACGTCCACGTCCACGTCCACGTCCACGTCCACGTCCACGTCCATGTCCACGTCCACGTCCACGTCCACGTCCACGTCCACGTCCACGTCCACGTCCACGTCCACGTCCATGTCCACGTCCACGTCCACGTCCACGTCCACGTCCACGTCCACGTCCATCCACGTCCACGTCCACGTCCACGTCCACGTCCACGTCCACGTCCACGTCCACGTCCACGTCCACGTCCACGTCCATGTCCACGTCCACGTCCACGTCCACGTCCACGTCCACGTCCACGTCCACGTCCATGTCCACGTCCACGTCCACGTCCATGTCCACGTCCACGTCCACGTCACGTCCACGTCCACGTCCACGTCCACGTCCACGTCCACGTCCGTCCACGTCCACGTCCACGTCCACGTCCACGTCCACGTCCATGTCCACGTCCACGTCCACGTCCACGTCCACGTCCACGTCCACGTCCACGTCCACGTCCACGTCCACGTCACGTCCACGTCCACGTCCACGTCCACGTCCACGTCCACGTCCACGTCACGTCCACGTCCACGTCCACGTCCACGTCCACGTCCACGTCCACGTCCACGTCCACGTCCACGTCCACGTCACGTCCACGTCCACGTCCACGTCCACGTCCACGTCCACGTCCACGTCCACGTCCACGTCCACGTCCACGTCCACGTCCACGTCCACGTCCACGTCCACGTCCACGTCCACGTCCACGTCCACGTCCACGTCCACGTCCACGTCCACGTCCATGTCCACGTCCACGTCCACGTCCACGTCCACGTCCACGTCCACGTCCACGTCCACGTCCACGTCCACGTCCACGTCCACGTCCACGTCCACGTCACGTCCACGTCCACGTCCACGTCCACGTCCACGTCCACGTCCACGTCCACGTCCATGTCCACGTCCACGTCCACGTCATGTCCACGTCCACGTCCACGTCCACGTCCACGTCCACGTCCACGTCACGTCCACGTCCACGTCCACGTCCATGTCCACGTCCACGTCCACGTCCACGTCCACGTCCACGTCCACGTCCACGTCCACGTCCACGTCCACGTCCACGTCCACGTCCACGTCCACGTCCACGTCCATGTCCACGTCCACGTCCACGTCCACGTCCACGTCCATGTCCACGTCCACGTCCACGTCCACGTCCACGTCCACGTCCACGTCACGTCCACGTCCACGTCCACGTCCATGTCCACGTCCACGTCCACGTCCACGTCCACGTCCATGTCCACGTCCACGTCCACGTCCACGTCCACGTCCACGTCCACGTCCACGTCCACGTCCACGTCCACGTCCACGTCCACGTCCATGTCCACGTCCACGTCCACGTCCACGTCCACGTCCACGTCCACGTCCACGTCCACGTCCACGTCCACGTCCACGTCCACGTCCACGTCCACGTCCACGTCCACGTCCACGTCCATCCACGTCCACGTCCACGTCCACGTCCACGTCCACGTCCATGTCCACGTCCACGTCCACGTCCACGTCCACGTCCACGTCCACGTCCACGTCCACGTCCACGTCCACGTCCACGTCCACGTCCACGTCCACGTCCACGTCCATGTCCACGTCACGTCCACGTCCACGTCCACGTCCACGTCCACGTCCACGTCCACGTCCACGTCCACGTCCACGTCCACGTCCACGTCCACGTCCACGTCCACGTCCACGTCCACGTCCACGTCCACGTCCACGTCCACGTCCACGTCCACGTCCACGTCCACGTCCACGTCCACGTCCACGTCCACGTCCACGTCCACGTCCACGTCCACGTCCACGTCCACGTCCACGTCCACGTCCACGTCCACGTCCACGTCCACGTCCACGTCCACGTCCATGTCCACGTCCACGTCCACGTCCACGTCCACGTCCATGTCCACGTCCACGTCCACGTCCACGTCCACGTCCACGTCCACGTCCACGTCCACGTCCACGTCCACGTCCACGTCCACGTCCACGTCCACGTCCACGTCCATGTCCACGTCCACGTCACGTCCACGTCCACGTCCACGTCCACGTCCACGTCCACGTCCACGTCCACGTCCACGTCCACGTCCACGTCCACGTCCACGTCCACGTCCACGTCCACGTCCAGTCCACGTCCACGTCCACGTCCACGTCCACGTCCACGTCCACGTCCACGTCCACGTCCACGTCCACGTCCACGTCACGTCCACGTCCACGTCCACGTCCACGTCCACGTCCACGTCCACGTCCACGTCCATGTCCACGTCCATGTCCACGTCCACGTCCACGTCCACGTCCACGTCCACGTCCACGTCCACGTCCACGTCCACGTCCACGTCCACGTCCACGTCCACGTCCACGTCCACGTCCACGTCCACGTCCATTCCACGTCCATGTCCACGTCCACGTCCATGTCCACGTCCACGTCCACGTCCACGTCCACGTCCACGTCCACGTCCACGTCCACGTCCACGTCCACGTCCACGTCCACGTCCACGTCCACGTCCACGTCCACGTCCACGTCCACGTCCACGTCCACGTCCACGTCCACGTCCACGTCCACGTCCACGTCCACGTCCACGTCCACGTCCACGTCCACGTCCACGTCCACGTCCACGTCCACGTCCACGTCCACGTCCACGTCCACGTCCACGTGTCCACGTCCACGTCCACGTCCACGTCCACGTCCACGTCCACGTCCACGTCCACGTCCACGTCCACGTCCACGTCCACGTCCACGTCCACGTCCACGTCCACGTCCACGTCCACGTCCACGTCCACGTCCATCCACGTCCACGTCCACGTCCACGTCCACGTCACGTCCACGTCCACGTCCACGTCCACGTCCACGTCCACGTCCACGTCCACGTCCACGTCCACGTCCACGTCCATGTCCACGTCCACGTCCACGTCCACGTCCACGTCCACGTCCACGTCCACGTCCACGTCCATGTCCACGTCCACGTCCACGTCCATGTCCACGTCCACGTCCACTCCACGTCCACGTCCACGTCCACGTCCACGTCCACGTCCACGTCCACGTCCACGTCCACGTCCACGTCCACGTCCACGTCCACGTCCACGTCCACGTCCACGTCCACGTCCACGTCCATGTCCACGTCCACGTCCACGTCCACGTCCACGTCCACGTCCACGTCCACGTCCACGTCCATGTCCACGTCCACGTCCACGTCCACGTCCACGTCCACGTCCACGTCCACGTCACGTCCACGTCCACGTCCACGTCCACGTCCACGTCCACGTCCACGTCCACGTCCACGTCCACGTCCACCCAGTCCACGTCCACGTCCACGTCCACGTCCACGTCCACGTCCATGTCCACGTCCACGTCCACGTCCACGTCCACGTCCACGTCCACGTCCACGTCCACGTCCACGTCCACGTCCACGTCCACGTCCACGTCCACGTCCACGTCCACGTCCACGTCCACGTCCACGTCCACGTCCACGTCCACGTCCACGTCCACGTCCACGTCCACGTCCACGTCCACGTCCACGTCCACGTCCACGTCCACGTCCACGTCCACGTCCACGTCCACGTCCACGTCCACGTCCACGTCCACGTCCACGTCCACGTCCACGTCCACGTCCACGTCACGTCCACGTCCACGTCCACGTCCACGTCCACGTCCACGTCCACGTCCACGTCCACGTCCACGTCCACGTCCACGTCCACGTCCACGTCCACGTCCACGTCCACGTCCACGTCCACGTCCACGTCCACGTCCACGTCCACGTCCAATCCACGTCCACGTCCACACGTCCACGTCCACGTCCACGTCCACGTCCACGTCCACGTCCACGTCCATGTCCACGTCCACGTCCACGTCCACGTCCACGTCCACGTCCACGTCCACGTCCACGTCCACGTCCACGTCCACGTCCACGTCCATGTCCACGTCCACGTCCACGTCCACGTCCACGTCCACGTCCACGTCCACGTCCACGTCCACGTCCACGTCCACGTCCACGTCCACGTCCACGTCCACGTCCACGTCCACGTCCACGTCCACGTCCACGTCCACGTCCACGTCCATGTCCACGTCCACGTCCACGTCCATGTCCACGTCCACGTCCACGTCCACGTCCACGTCCATGTCCACGTCCACGTCCACGTCCACGTCCACGTCCACGTCCACGTCCACGTCCACGTCCATGTCCACGTCCACGTCCACGTCCACGTCCACGTCCACGTCCACGTCCACGTCCACGTCCACGTCCACGTCCATGTCCACGTCCACGTCCACGTCCACGTCCACGTCCACGTCACGTCCACGTCCACGTCCACGTCCACGTCCACGTCCACGTCCACGTCCATGTCCACGTCCACGTCCACGTCCACGTCCACGTCCACGTCCACGTCCACGTCCACGTCCACGTCCACGTCCACGTCCACGTCCACGTCCACGTCCACGTCCACGTCCACGTCCACGTCCACGTCCACGTCCACGTCCACGTCCACGTCCACGTCCACGTCCACGTCCACGTCCACGTCCACGTCACGTCCACGTTACGTGTATATCCACGTCCACGTCCACGTCCACGTCCACGTCCACGTCCACGTCCACGTCCACGTCCACGTCCACGTCCACGTCCACGTCCACGTCCACGTCCACGTCCACGTCCACGTCCACGTCCACGTCCACGTCCACGTCCACGTCCACGTCCACGTCCACGTCCACGTCCACGTCCACGTCCACGTCCACGTCCACGTCCACGTCCACGTCCACGTCCACGTCCACGTCCACGTCCATGTCCACGTCCACGTCCACGTCCACGTCCACGTCCACGTCCACGTCCACGTCCACGTCCACGTCCACGTCCACGTCCACGTCCACGTCCACGTCCACGTCCACGTCCACGTCCACGTCCACGTCCACGTCCACGTCCACGTCCACGTCCACGTCCACGTCCACGTCCACGTCCACGTCCACGTCCACGTCCACGTCCACGTCCACGTCCATGTCCACGTCCACGTCCACGTCCACGTCCACGTCCACGTCCATTCCACGTCACGTCCACGTCCACGTCCACGTCCACGTCCACGTCCACGTCCACGTCCACGTCCACGTCCACGTCCACGTCCACGTCCACGTCCACGTCCACGTCCACGTCCACGTCCACGTCCACGTCCACGTCCACGTCCATGTCCACGTCCACGTCCACGTCCACGTCCACGTCCACGTCCCACGTCCACGTCCACGTCCACGTCCACGTCCACGTCCACGTCCACGTCCACGTCCACGTCCACGTCCACGTCCACGTCCATGTCCACGTCCACGTCCACGTCCACGTCCACGTCCACGTCACGTCCACGTCCACGTCCACGTCCACGTCCACGTCCACGTCCATGTCCACGTCCACGTCCACGTCCACGTCCACGTCCACGTCCACGTCCACGTCCACGTCCACGTCCACGTCCACGTCGTCCACGTCCACGTCCACGTCCACGTCCACGTCCACGTCCACGTCCACGTCCACGTCCACGTCCACGTCCACGTCCACGTCCACGTCCACGTCCACGTCCACGTCCAGTCCACGTCCACGTCCACGTCCACGTCCACGTCCACGTCCACGTCCACGTCCACGTCCACGTCCACGTCCACGTCCACGTCCACGTCCACGTCCACGTCCACGTCCACTCCACGTCCACGTCCACGTCCACGTCCACGTCCCCGTCCACCACCACCCACCCGTCCACGTCCACGTCCACGTCCACGTCCACGTCCACGTCCACGTCCATGTCCACGTCCACGTCCACGTCCACGTCCACGTCCATGTCCACGTCCACGTCCACGTCCACGTCCACGTCCACGTCCACGTCCACGTCCACGTCCACGTCCACGTCCACGTCCACGTCCCAGTCCACGTCCACGTCCACGTCCACGTCCATGTCCACGTCCACGTCCACGTCCACGTCCATGTCCACGTCCACGTCCACGTCCACGTCCACGTCCACGTCCACGTCCATCCACGTCCACGTCCACGTCCACGTCCACGTCCATGTCACGTCCACGTCCACGTCCACGTCCACGTCCATGTCCACGTCCACGTCCACGTCCATGTCACGTCCACGTCCATGTCCACGTCCACGTCCACGTCCACGTCCACGTCCACGTCCACGTCCACGTCCACGTCCACGTCCACGTCCACGTCCACGTCCACGTCCACGTCCACGTCCATGTCCACGTCCACGTCCACGTCCACGTCCACGTCCACGTCCACGTCCACGTCCACGTCCACGTCCACGTCCACGTCCACGTCCACGTCCACGTCCACGTCCACGTCCACGTCCACGTCCACGTCCACGTCCACGTCCACGTCCACGTCCACGTCCACGTCCACGTCCATGTCCACGTCCACGTCCACGTCCACGTCCACGTCCACGTCCATGTCACGTCCACGTCCACGTCCACGTCCACGTCCACGTCCACGTCCACGTCCACGTCCACGTCCATGTCCACGTCCACGTCCACGTCCACGTCCACGTCCACGTCCACGTCCACGTCCACGTCCACGTCCACGTCCACGTCCACGTCCACGTCCACGTCCACGTCCACGTCCACGTCCACGTCCACGTCCACGTCCACGTCCACGTCCACGTCCACGTCCACGTCCACGTCCACGTCCATGTCCACTCGTCCACGTCCACGTCCACGTCCACGTCCACGTCCACGTCCACGTCCACGTCCATGTCCACGTCCACGTGTCCACGTCCACGTCCACGTCCACGTCCACGTCCATGTCCACGTCCACGTCCACGTCCACGTCCACGTCCACGTCCACGTCCACGTCCACGTCCACGTCCACGTCCACGTCCACGTCCACGTCCACGTCCACGTCCACGTCCACGTCCACGTCCACGTCCACGTCCACGTCCACGTCCACGTCCACGTCCACGTCCACGTCCACGTCCACGTCCACGTCCATGTCCACGTCCACGTCCACGTCCACGTCCACGTCCACGTCCACGTCCACGTCCACGTCCATGTCCACGTCCACGTCCACGTCCACGTCCACGTCCACGTCCACGTCCACGTCCACGTCCACGTCCACGTCCACGTCCACGTCCACGTCCACGTCCACGTCCACGTCCACGTCCACGTCCACGTCCACGTCCACGTCATGTCCACGTCCACGTCCACGTCCACGTCCACGTCCACGTCCACGTCACGTCCGTCCACGTCCACGTCCACGTCCACGTCCACGTCCACGTCCACGTCCACGTCCACGTCCACGTCCACGTCCAGTCCACGTCCACGTCCATGTCCACGTCCACGTCCACGTCACGTCCACGTCCACGTCCACGTCCACGTCCATGTCCACGTCCACGTCCACGTCCACGTCACGTCCACGTCCACGTCCACGTCCACGTCCACGTCCACGTCCACGTCCACGTCCACGTCCACGTCCACGTCCACGTCCACGTCCACGTCCACGTCCACGTCCACGTCCACGTCCACGTCCACGTCCACGTCCACGTCCACGTCCACGTCCACGTCCACGTCCACGTCCACGTCCATGTCCACGTCCACGTCCACGTCCATGTCCACGTCCACGTCCATGTCCACGTCCATGTCCACGTCCACGTCCACGTCCACGTCCACGTCCACGTCCACGTCCACGTCCACGTCCACGTCCACGTCCACGTCCACGTCCACGTCCACGTCCACGTCCACGTCCACGTCCACGTCCACGTCCACGTCCACGTCCATGTCCACGTCCACGTCCATGTCCACGTCCACGTCCACGTCCACGTCCACGTCACGTCCACGTCCACGTCCACGTCCACGTCCACGTCCACGTCCACGTCCACGTCCACGTCCACGTCCACGTCCACGTCCACGTCCACGTCCACGTCCACGTCCACGTCCACGTCCACGTCCACGTCCACGTCCACGTCCACGTCCACGTCCACGTCCACGTCCACGTCCACGTCCACGTCCACGTCCACGTCCACGTCCACGTCCACGTCCACGTCCACGTCCACGTCCACGTCCACGTCCACGTCCACGTCCACGTCCACGTCCACGTCCACGTCCACGTCCACGTCCACGTCCACGTCCACGTCCACGTCCACGTCCACGTCCACGTCCACGTCCACGTCCACGTCCACGTCCACGTCCACGTCCACGTCCACGTCCACGTCCACGTCCACGTCCACGTCCATGTCCACGTCCACGTCCACGTCCACGTCCACGTCCACGTCCACGTCCACGTCCACGTCCACGTCCACGTCCACGTCCACGTCCACGTCCACGTCCACGTCCACGTCCACGTCCACGTCCACGTCCACGTCCACGTCCACGTCCACGTCCATCCACGTCCACGTCCACGTCCACGTCCACGTCCACGTCCACGTCCACGTCCCCATGTCCACGTCCACGTCCACGTCCACGTCCACGTCCACGTCCACGTCCACGTCCACGTCCACGTCCACGTCCACGTCCACGTCCACGTCCATGTCCACGTCCACGTCCACGTCCACGTCCATGTCACACGTCCACGTCCACGTCCACGTCCATGTCCACGTCCACGTCCACGTCCACGTCCACGTCCACGTCCACGTCCACGTCCACGTCCACGTCCATGTCCACGTCCACGTCCACGTCCACGTCCATGTCCACGTCCACGTCCACGTCCATGTCCACGTCCACGTCCACGTCCACGTCCATGTCCACGTCCACGTCCACGTCCACGTCCACGTCCACGTCCACGTCCACGTCCACGTCCACGTCCACGTCCACGTCCACGTCCACGTCCACGTCCACGTCCACGTCCACGTCCACGTCCACGTCCACGTCCACGTCCACGTCCACGTCCACGTCCACGTCCACGTCCACGTCCACGTCCACGTCCACGTCCACGTCCACGTCCACGTCCACGTCCACGTCCACGTCCACGTCCACGTCCACGTCCACGTCCATGTCCACGTCCACGTCCACGTCCACGTCCACGTCCACGTCCACGTCCACGTCCACGTCCACGTCCACGTCCACGTCCACGTCCACGTCCACGTCCACGTCCACGTCCACGTCCACGTCACGTCCACGTCCACGTCCACGTCCACGTCCACGTCCACGTCCACGTCCACGTCCACGTCCACGTCCACGTCCACGTCCACGTCCACGTCCACGTCCACGTCCATGTCCACGTCCACGTCCACGTCCACGTCCACGTCCACGTCCACGTCCACGTCCACGTCCACGTCCACGTCCACGTCCACGTCCACGTCCACATCCACGTCCACGTCCACGTCCACGTCCACGTCCACGTCCACGTCCATGTCCACGTCCACGTCCACGTCCACGTCCACGTCCACGTCCACGTCCCGTCCACGTCCACGTCCACGTCCACGTCCACGTCCACGTCCACGTCCACGTCCACGTCCACGTCCACGTCCACGTCCACGTCCACGTCCACGTCCACGTCCACGTCCACGTCCACGTCCCCACGTCCACGTCCACGTCCACGTCCACGTCCACGTCCACGTCCACGTCCACGTCCACGTTCACGTCCATGTCCACGTCCACGTCCACGTCCATGTCCACGTCCACGTCCACGTCCACGTCCACGTCCACGTCCACGTCCACGTCCACGTCCACGTCCACGTCCACGTCCACGTCCACGTCCACGTCCACGTCCACGTCCACGTCCATGTCCACGTCCACGTCCACGTCCACGTCCACGTCCACGTCCACGTCCACGTCCACGTCCACGTCCACGTCCACGTCCACGTCCACGTCCACGTCCACGTCCACGTCCACGTCCACGTCCACGTCCACGTCCACGTCCACGTCCACGTCCACGTCCACGTCCACGTCCACGTCCACGTCCACGTCCACGTCCACGTCCACGTCCACGTCCACGTCCACGTCCACGTCCACGTCCACGTCCACGTCCACGTCCACGTCCACGTCCACGTCCATGTCCACGTCCACGTCCACGTCACGTCCACGTCCACGTCCACGTCCACGTCCACGTCCACGTCACGTCCACGTCCACGTCCACGTCCACGTCCACGTCCACGTCCATGTCCACGTCCACGTCCACGTCCACGTCCACGTCCACGTCCACGTCCATGTCCACGTCCACGTCCACGTCCACGTCCACGTCCACGTCCACGTCCACGTCCACGTCCACGTCCACGTCCACGTCCACGTCCACGTCCACGTCCACGTCCACGTCCACGTCCACGTCCACGTCCACGTCCACGTCCACGTCCACGTCCATGTCCACGTCCACGTCCACGTCCACGTCCACGTCCACAGTCCACGTCCACGTCCACGTCCACGTCCACGTCCACGTCCACGTCCACGTCCACGTCCACGTCCACGTCCACGTCCACGTCCACGTCCACGTCCACGTCCACGTCCACGTCCACGTCCACGTCCACGTCCACGTCCACTCCACGTCCACGTCCACGTCACGTCCACGTCCACGTCCACGTCCACACGTCCACGTCCACGTCCACGTCCACGTCCACGTCCACGTCCACGTCCACGTCCACGTCCACGTCCACGTCCACGTCCACGTCCACGTCCACGTCACGTCCACGTCCACGTCCACGTCCACGTCCACGTCCACGTCCATGTCCACGTCCACGTCCACGTCCACGTCCATGTCCACGTCCACGTCCACGTCCACGTCCACGTCCACGTCCACGTCCACGTCCACGTCCACGTCCACGTCCACGTCCACGTCCACGTCCACGTCCACGTCCACGTCCACGTCCACGTCCACGTCCACGTCCACGTCCACGTCCACGTCCACGTCCACGTCCACGTCCACGTCCACGTCCACGTCCACGTCCACGTCCACGTCCACGTCCACGTCCACGTCCACGTCCACGTCCACGTCCACGTCCACGTCCACGTCCACGTCCACGTCCATGTCCACGTCCACGTCCACGTCCACGTCCACGTCCACGTCCACGTCCACGTCCACGTCCACGTCCACGTCCACGTCCACGTCCACGTCCACGTCCACGTCCACGTCCACGTCCACGTCCACGTCCACGTCCACGTCCACGTCCACGTCCACGTCCACGTCCACGTCCACGTCCACGTCCACGTCCACGTCCACGTCCACGTCCATGTCCACGTCCACGTCCACACGTCCACGTCCACGTCCACGTCCACGTCCACGTCCACGTCCACGTCCACGTCCACGTCCACGTCCATGTCCACGTCCACGTCCACGTCCACGTCCACGTCCACGTCCGTCCACGTCCACGTCACGTCCACGTCCACGTCCACGTCCACGTCCACGTCCACGTCCACGTCCACGTCCACGTCCACGTCCACGTCACGTCCACGTCCACGTCCACGTCCACGTCCACGTCCACGTCCACGTCCACGTCCACGTCCACGTCCACGTCCACGTCCACGTCCACGTCCACGTCCACGTCCACGTCCACGTCCACGTCCATGTCCACGTCCACGTCCACGTCCACGTCCACGTCCACGTCCACGTCCACGTCCACGTCCACGTCCACGTCCACGTCCACGTCCACGTCCACGTCCACGTCCACGTCCACGTCCACGTCCACGTCCACGTCCCACACGTCCACGTCCACGTCCACGTCCACGTCCACGTCCACGTCCACGTCCATGTCCACGTCCACGTCCACGTCCACGTCCATGTCCACGTCCACGTCCACGTCCACGTCCACGTCCACGTCCACGTCCACGTCCACGTCCACGTCCACGTCCACGTCCACGTCCACGTCCACGTCCACGTCCACGTCCACGTCCACGTCCACGTCCACGTCCACGTCCACGTCCACGTCCACGTCCACGTCCACGTCCACGTCCACGTCCACGTCCTGTCCACGTCCACGTCCACGTCCACGTCCACGTCCACGTCCACGTCCACGTCCACGTCCACGTCCACGTCCATGTCCACGTCCACGTCCACGTCCAGTCCACGTCCACGTCCACGTCCACGTCCATGTCCACGTCCACGTCCACGTCCACGTCCATGTCCACGTCCACGTCCACGTCCACGTCCACGTCCACGTCCACGTCCACGTCCACGTCCACGTCCACGTCCACGTCCACGTCCACGTCCACGTCCACGTCCACGTCCACGTCCACGTCCATGTCCACGTCCACGTCCACGTCCACGTCCACGTCCACGTCCACGTCCACGTCCACGTCCACGTCCACGTCCACGTCCACGTCCACGTCCACGTCCACGTCCACGTCCACGTCCACGTCACGTCCACGTCCACGTCCACGTCCACGTCCACGTCCACGTCCATGTCCACGTCCACGTCCACGTCCACGTCCACGTCCACGTCCACGTCCACGTCCATGTCCACGTCCACGTCCACGTCCACGTCCACGTCCACGTCCACGTCCACGTCCACGTCCACGTCCACGTCCACGTCCACGTCCACGTCCACGTCCACGTCCATGTCCACGTCCACGTCCACGTCCACGTCCACGTCCACGTCCACGTCCACGTCCACGTCCACGTCCACGTCCACGTCCACGTCCACGTCCACGTCCACGTCCATGTCCACGTCCATGTCCACGTCCACGTCCACGTCCATGTCCACGTCCACGTCCACGTCCACGTCCACGTCCACGTCCACGTCCACGTCCACGTCCATGTCCACGTCCACGTCCACGTCCATGTCCACGTCCACGTCCACGTCCACGTCCACGTCCACGTCCACGTCCACGTCCACGTCCACGTCCACGTCCATGTCCACGTCCACGTCCACGTCCACGTCCACGTCCACGTCCACGTCCACGTCCAGTCCACGTCCACGTCCACGTCCACGTCCACGTCCACGTCCACGTCCACGTCCACGTCCACGTCACGTCCACGTCCACGTCCACGTCCACGTCCACGTCCACGTCCACGTCCACGTCCACGTCCACGTCCACGTCCACGTCCACGTCCACGTCCACGTCCACGTCCACGTCCACGTCCACGTCCATGTCCACGTCCACGTCCACGTCCACGTCCCACGTCCACGTCCACGTCCATGTCCACGTCCACGTCCACGTCCACGTCCACGTCCACGTCCACGTCCACGTCCACGTCCACGTCCACGTCCACGTCCATGTCCACGTCCACGTCCACGTCCACGTCCACGTCCACGTCCACGTCCACGTCCACGTCCACGTCCACGTCCACGTCCACGTCCACGTCCACGTCCACGTCCACGTCCACGTCCATCACGTCCACGTCCACGTCCACGTCCACGTCCACGTCCACGTCCACGTCCACGTCCACGTCCACGTCCACGTCCACGTCCACGTCCACGTCCACGTCCATGTCCACGTCCACGTCCACGTCCACGTCCACGTCCACGTCCACGTCCACGTCCACGTCCACGTCCACGTCCACGTCCACGTCCACGTCCACGTCCACGTCCACGTCCACGTCCACGTCCACGTCCACGTCCACGTCCACGTCCACGTCCACGTCCACGTCCACGTCCATGTCCACGTCCACGTCCACGTCCCACGTCCACGTCCACGTCCACGTCCACGTCCACGTCACGTCCACGTCCACGTCCAGTCCACGTCCACGTCCACGTCACGTCCACGTCCACGTCCACGTCCATGTCCACGTCCATGTCCACGTCCACGTCCACGTCCACGTCCAGTCCACGTCCACGTCCACGTCCACGTCCACGTCCACGTCCACGTCCACGTCCACGTCACGTCCACGTCCACGTCCACGTCCACGTCCACGTCCACGTCCACGTCCACGTCCACGTCCACGTCCATGTCCACGTCCACGTCCACGTCCACGTCCACGTCACGTCCACGTCCACGTCCACGTCCACGTCCACGTCCACGTCCACGTCCATGTCCACGTCCACGTCCACGTCCACGTCCACGTCCACGTCCACGTCCACGTCCACGTCCACGTCCACGTCCACGTCCACGTCCACGTCCACGTCCACGTCCACGTCCATGTCCACGTCCACGTCCACGTCCACGTCCACGTCCACGTCCACGTCCACGTCCACGTCCACGTCCATGTCCACGTCCACGTCCACGTCCACGTCCACGTCCATGTCCACGTCCACGTCCACGTCCACGTCCACGTCCACGTCCACGTCCACGTCCACGTCCACGTCCACGTCCACGTCCACGTCCACGTCCACGTCCACGTCCACGTCCACGTCCACGTCCACGTCCACCACGTCCACGTCCACGTCCACGTCCACGTCCACGTCCACGTCCACGTCCACGTCCACGTCCACGTCCACGTCCACGTCCACGTCCACGTCCACGTCCACGTCCACGTCCACGTCCACGTCCACGTCCACGTCCACGTCCGTCCACGTCCACGTCCACGTCCACGTCCACGTCCACGTCCACGTCCACGTCCACGTCCACGTCCACGTCCACGTCCACGTCCACGTCCACGTCCACGTCCATGTCCACGTCCACGTCCATGTCCACGTCCACGTCCACGTCCACGTCCACGTCCACGTCCACGTCCACGTCCACGTCCACGTCCACGTCCACGTCCACGTCCACGTCCACGTCCATGTCCACGTCCACGTCCACGTCCACGTCCACGTCCATGTCCACGTCCACGTCCACGTCCACGTCCATGTCCACGTCCACGTCCACGTCCACGTCCACGTCCATGTCCACGTCCACGTCCACGTCCACGTCCACGTCCATGTCCACGTCCACGTCCACGTCCACGTCCACGTCCATGTCCACGTCCACGTCCACGTCCACGTCCACGTCCACGTCCACGTCCACGTCCACGTCCATGTCCACGTCACGTCCACGTCCACGTCCACGTCCACGTCCACGTCCACGTCCACGTCCACGTCCATGTCCACGTCCACGTCCACGTCCACGTCCACGTCCACGTCCACGTCCACGTCCATGTCCACGTCCACGTCCACGTCCACGTCCACGTCCACGTCCACGTCCACGTCCACGTCCACGTCCACGTCCACGTCCACGTCCATGTCCACGTCCACGTCCACGTCCACGTCCACGTCCACGTCCATGTCCACGTCCACGTCCACGTCCACGTCCACACGTCCATGTCCACGTCCACGTCCACGTCACGTCCACGTCCACGTCCACGTCCACGTCCACGTCCACGTCCACGTCCATGTCCACGTCCACGTCCACGTCCACGTCCATGTCCACGTCCACGTCCACGTCCACGTCCACGTCCACGTCCACGTCCACGTCCACGTCCACGTCCACGTCCACGTCCACGTCCACGTCCACGTCCACGTCCACGTCCATGTCCACGTCCACGTCCACGTCCACGTCCACGTCCACGTCCACGTCCACGTCCACGTCCACGTCCACGTCCACGTCCACGTCCACGTCCACGTCCACGTCCACGTCCACGTCCACGTCCATGTCCACGTCCACGTCCACGTCCACGTCCACGTCCACGTCCACGTCCATGTCCACGTCCACGTCCACGTCCACGTCCACGTCCACGTCCACGTCCACGTCCACGTCCACGTCCACGTCCACGTCCACGTCCACGTCCACGTCCACGTCCACGTCCATGTCCACGTCCACGTCCACGTCCACGTCCACGTCCACGTCCACGTCCACGTCCACGTCCACGTCCACGTCCACGTCCACGTCCACGTCCACGTCCACGTCCACGTCCACGTCCACGTCCACGTCCACGTCCACGTCCATGTCCACGTCCACGTCCACGTCCACGTCCATGTCCACGTCCACGTCCACGTCCACGTCCACGTCCATGTCCACGTCCACGTCCACGTCCACGTCCACGTCCACGTCCACGTCCATGTCCACGTCCACGTCCACGTCCATGTCCACGTCCACGTCCACGTCCACGTCCATGTCCACGTCCACGTCCACGTCCACGTCCATGTCCACGTCCACGTCACGTCCATGTCCACGTCCACGTCCACGTCCACGTCCACGTCCACGTCCATGTCCACGTCCACGTCCACGTCCACGTCACGTCCACGTCCACGTCCACGTCCACGTCCACGTCCACGTCCACGTCCACGTCCACGTCCACGTCCACGTCCACGTCCACGTCCACGTCCACGTCCACGTCCACGTCCACGTCCACGTCCACGTCCACGTCCACGTCCACGTCCACGTCCACGTCCACGTCCACGTCCACGTCCATGTCCACGTCCACGTCCACGTCCACGTCCACGTCCACGTCCACGTCCATGTCCACGTCCACGTCCACGTCCACGTCCACGTCCACGTCCACGTCCACGTCCACGTCCACGTCCACGTCCACGTCCACGTCCACGTCCACGTCCACGTCCACGTCCACGTCCACGTCCACGTCCACGTCCACGTCCACGTCCACGTCCACGTCCATGTCCACGTCCACGTCCACGTCCACGTCCACGTCCACGTCCACGTCCACGTGTCCACGTCCACGTCCACGTCCACGTCCACGTCCACGTCCACGTCCACGTCCACGTCCACGTCCACGTCCACGTCCACGTCCACGTCCACGTCCCGTCCACGTCCACGTCCACGTCCACCACGTCCACGTCCACGTCCACGTCCACGTCCACGTCCACGTCCACGTCCACGTCCACGTCCACGTCCACGTCCACGTCCACGTCCACGTCCACGTCCACGTCCACGTCCACGTCCACGTCCACGTCCACGTCCATGTCCACGTCCACGTCCACGTCCACGTCCACGTCCACGTCCACGTCCATGTCCACGTCCACGTCCATGTCCACGTCCACGTCCACGTCCACGTCCACGTCCACGTCCACGTCCACGTCCATGTCCACGTCCACGTCCACGTCCAGTCCACGTCCACGTCCACGTCCACGTCCACGTCCACGTCCACGTCCACGCACGTCCACGTCCACGTCCACGTCCACGTCCACGTCCATGTCCACGTCCACGTCCACGTCCACGTCCACGTCCACGTCCACGTCCACGTCCACGTCCACGTCCACGTCCACGTCCACGTCCATCCACGTCCACGTCCACGTCCACGTCCACGTCACGTCCACGTCCACGTCCACGTCCACGTCCACGTCCACGTCCACGTCCACGTCCACGTCCACGTCCACGTCCACGTCCACGTCCACGTCCATGTCCACGTCCACGTCCACGTCCACGTCCACGTCCACGTCCATGTCCACGTCCACGTCCACGTCCACGTCCACGTCCACGTCCACGTCCATGTCCACGTCCACGTCCACGTCCACGTCCACGTCCACGTCCACGTCCACGTCACGTCCACGTCCAGTCCACGTCCACGTCCACGTCCACGTCCACGTCCACGTCCACGTCCACGTCCACGTCCACGTCCACGTCCACGTCCACGTCCACGTCCACGTCCACGTCCACGTCCACGTCCACGTCCACGTCCACGTCCACGTCCACGTCCACGTCCACGTCCACGTCCACGTCCATGTCCACGTCCACGTCCACGTCCACGTCCACGTCCACGTCCACGTCCATGTCCACGTCCACGTCCACGTCCACGTCCACGTCCACGTCCACGTCCACGTCCACGTCCACGTCCACGTCCACGTCCACGTCCACGTCCACGTCCACGTCCACGTCCACGTCCACGTCCACGTCCACGTCCACGTCCAGTCCACGTCCACGTCCACGTCCACGTCCACGTCCACGTCCACGTCCACGTCCACGTCCACGTCCACGTCCACGTCCACGTCCACGTCCATGTCCACGTCCACGTCCACGTCCACGTCCACGTCCATGTCCACGTCCACGTCCACGTCCACGTCCACGTCCACGTCCACGTCCATGTCCACGTCCACGTCCACGTCCACGTCCACGTCCACGTCCACGTCCACGTCCACGTCCACGTCCACGTCCACGTCCACGTCCACGTCCACGTCCACGTCCACGTCCACGTCCACGTCCATGTCCACGTCCACGTCCACGTCCACGTCCACGTCCACGTCCACGTCCACGTCCACGTCCATGTCCACGTCCACGTCCACGTCCACGTCCACGTCCACGTCCACGTCCACGTCCACGTCCACGTCCACGTCCACGTCCACGTCCAGTCCACGTCCACGTCCACGTCCACGTCCACGTCCACGTCCACGTCCACGTCCACGTCCACGTCCACGTCCACCACCACGTCCACGTCCACGTCCACGTCCACGTCCAGTCCACGTCCACGTCCACGTCCACGTCCACGTCCACGTCCACGTCCACGTCACGTCCACGTCCACGTCCACGTCCACGTCCACGTCCACGTCCACGTCCACGTCCACGTCCACGTCCACGTCCACGTCCACGTCCACGTCCACGTCCACGTCCACGTCCACGTCACGTCCACGTCCACGTCCATGTCCACGTCCACGTCCACGTCCACGTCCACGTCCACGTCCACGTCCACGTCCACGTCCACGTCCACGTCCACGTCCACGTCCACGTCCACGTCCAGTCCACGTCCACGTCCACGTCCACGTCCACGTCCACGTCCACGTCCACGTCCACGTCCACGTCCACGTCCACGTCCACGTCCACGTCCATGTCCACGTCCACGTCCACGTCCACGTCCACGTCCACGTCCACGTCCACGTCCATGTCCACGTCCACGTCCACGTCCACGTCCACGTCCACGTCCACGTCCATGTCCACGTCCACGTCCACGTCCAGTCCACGTCCACGTCCACGTCCACGTCCACGTCCACGTCCACGTCCACGTCACGTCCACGTCCACGTCCACGTCCACGTCCACGTCCACGTCCACGTCCACGTCCACGTCCACGTCCACGTCCACGTCCACGTCCACGTCCACGTCCATGTCCACGTCCACGTCCACGTCCACGTCCACGTCCCGTCCACGTCCACGTCCACGTCCACGTCCACGTCCACGTCCACGTCCATGTCCACGTCCACGTCCACGTCCACGTCCACGTCCACGTCCACGTCCATGTCCACGTCCACGTCCACGTCCATGTCCACGTCCACGTCCACGTCCACGTCCACGTCCACGTCCACGTCCACGTCCACGTCCATGTCCACGTCCACGTCCACGTCCACGTCCACGTCCACGTCCACGTCCACGTCCACGTCCACGTCCACGTCCATGTCCACTCCACGTCCACGTCCACGTCCAGTCCACGTCCACGTCCACGTCCACGTCCACGTCCACGTCCACGTCCACGTCCACGTCCACGTCACGTCCACGTCCACGTCCACGTCCACGTCCACGTCCACGTCCACGTCCACGTCCACGTCCACGTCCACGTCCACGTCCATGTCCATGTCCACGTCCACGTCCACGTCCACGTCACGTCCATGTCCACGTCCACGTCCACGTCCACGTCCACGTCCACGTCCACGTCCATGTCCACGTCCACGTCCACGTCCACGTCCACGTCCATGTCCACGTCCACGTCCACGTCCACGTCCACGTCCATGTCCACGTCCACGTCCACGTCCACGTCCACGTCCACGTCCACGTCCACGTCCACACGTCCACGTCCACGTCCACGTCCACGTCCACGTCCACGTCCACGTCCACGTCCACGTCCACGTCCACGTCCACGTCCACGTCCACGTCCACGTCCACGTCCACGTCCACGTCCACGTCCACGTCCACGTCCACGTCCACGTCCACGCCCACGTCCACGTCCACGTCCACGTCCACGTCCACGTCCACGTCCACGTCCACGTCCACGTCCACGTCCACGTCCACGTCCACGTCCACGTCCACGTCCACGTCCACGTCCACGTCCACGTCCACGTCCACGTCCACGTCCACGTCCACGTCCACGTCCACGTCCACGTCCACGTCCACGTCCACGTCCACGTCCACGTCCACGTCCACGTCCACGTCCAGTCCACGTCCACGTCCACGTCCACGTCCACGTCCACGTCCACGTCCAGTCCACGTCCACGTCCACGTCACGTCCACGTCCACGTCCACGTCCACGTCCACGTCCACGTCCACGTCCACGTCACGTCCACGTCCACGTCCACGTCCATGTCCACGTCCACGTCCACGTCCATGTCCACGTCCACGTCCACGTCCACGTCCACGTCCACGTCCACGTCCACGTCCACGTCCACGTCCACGTCCACGTCCAGTCCACGTCCACGTCCACGTCCACGTCCACGTCCACGTCCACGTCCACGTCCACGTCCACGTCCACGTCCACGTCCACGTCCACGTCCACGTCCACGTCCACGTCCACGTCCACGTCCACGTCCACGTCCACGTCCACGTCCACGTCCACGTCCACGTCCACGTCCACGTCCACGTCCACGTCCACGTCCACGTCCACGTCCACGTCCACGTCCACGTCCACGTCCACGTCCACGTCCATGTCCACGTCCACGTCCACGTCCACGTCCACGTCCACGTCCACGTCCACGTCCACGTCCACGTCCACGTCCATGTCCACGTCCACGTCCACGTCCACGTCCACGTCCACGTCCACGTCCACGTCCATGTCCACGTCCACGTCCACGTCCACGTCCATGTCCACGTCCACGTCCACGTCCACGTCCACGTCCACGTCCACGTCCACGTCCATGTCCACGTCCACGTCCACGTCCACGTCCACGTCCACGTCCACGTCCACGTCCACGTCCACGTCCACGTCCACGTCCACGTCCACGTCCACGTCCACGTCCACGTCCACGTCCACGTCCATTCCACGTCCACGTCCATGTCCACGTCCACGTCCACGTCCACGTCCACGTCCACGTCCACGTCCACGTCCACGTCCACGTCCACGTCCACGTCCACGTCCACGTCCACGTCCACGTCCACGTCCATGTCCACGTCCACGTCCACGTCCACGTCCACGTCCACGTCCACGTCCACGTCCACGTCCACGTCCACGTCCATGTCCACGTCCACGTCCACGTCCACGTCCACGTCCATGTCCACGTCCACGTCCACGTCCACGTCCACGTCCACGTCCACGTCCACGTCCACGTCCACGTCCACGTCCACGTCCACGTCCACGTCCACGTCCACGTCCACGTCCACGTCCACGTCCACGTCCACGTCCACGTCCACGTCCACGTCCACGTCCACGTCCACGTCCACGTCCACGTCCACGTCCACGTCCACGTCCACGTCACGTCCACGTCCACGTCCACGTCCACGTCCACGTCCACGTCCACGTCCATGTCCACGTCCACGTCCACGTCCACGTCCACGTCCACGTCCACGTCCACGTCCACGTCCACGTCCACGTCCACGTCCACGTCCACGTCCACGTCCACGTCCACGTCCACGTCCACGTCCACGTCCACGTCCACGTCCACGTCCATGTCCACGTCCACGTCCACGTCCATGTCCACGTCCACGTCCACGTCCACGTCCACGTCCACGTCCATGTCCACGTCCACGTCCACGTCCATGTCCACGTCCACGTCCACGTCCACGTCCACGTCCACGTCCACGTCCACGTCCACGTCCACGTCCACGTCCACGTCCACGTCCACGTCCACGTCCACGTCCACGTCCACGTCCACGTCCACGTCCATGTCCACGTCCACGTCCACGTCCACGTCCACGTCCACGTCCACGTCCACGTCCACGTCCACGTCCACGTCCACGTCCACGTCCACGTCCACGTCCACGTCCACGTCCATGTCCACGTCCACGTCCACGTCCACGTCCATGTCCACGTCCACGTCCACGTCCACGTCCACGTCCACGTCCACGTCCACGTCCACGTCCACGTCCACGTCCACGTCCACGTCCATGTCCACGTCCACGTCCACGTCCACGTCCATGTCCATGTCCACGTCCATGTCCACGTCCAACGTCCACGTCCATGTCCACGTCCATGTCCACGTCCATGTCCACGTCCACGTCCACGTCCATGTCCACGTCCACGTCCACGTCCACGTCCACGTCCACGTCCACGTCCACGTCCATGCCACGTCCACGTCCATGTCCACGTCCACGTCCACGTCCACGTCCACGTCCACGTCCACGTCCATGTCCACGTCCACGTCCACGTCCACGTCCACGTCCACGTCCATGTCCACGTCCACGTCCACGTCCACGTCCACGTCCACGTCCACGTCCACGTCCACGTCCATGTCCACGTCCAGTCCACGTCCACGTCCACGTCCATGTCCACGTCCACGTCCACGTCCACGTCCATGTCCACGTCCACGTCCACGTCCACGTCCATGTCCACGTCCATGTCCACGTCCACGTCCACGTCCACGTCCACGTCCATGTCCACGTCCACGTCCACGTCCATGTCCACGTCCACGTCCACGTCCACGTCCACGTCCACGTCCACGTCCACGTCCACGTCCACGTCCACGTCCACGTCCACGTCCACGTCCATGTCCACGTCCACGTCCACGTCCATGTCCACGTCCACGTCCACGTCCACGTCCACGTCCACGTCCACGTCCACGTCCATGTCCACGTCCACGTCCACGTCCACGTCCACGTCCACGTCCACGTCCACGTCCACGTCCACGTCCACGTCCACGTCCACGTCCACGTCCACGTCCACGTCCACGTCCACGTCCACGTCCATGTCCACGTCCACGTCCACGTCCACGTCCACGTCCACGTCCACGTCCACGTCCATGTCCACGTCCATGTCCACGTCCACGTCCACGTCCACGTCCATGTCCACGTCCACGTCCACGTCCACGTCCACGTCCACGTCCACGTCCACGTCCACGTCCACGTCCACGTCCACGTCCACGTCCACGTCCACGTCCACGTCCACGTCCACGTCCACGTCCACGTCCACGTCCACGTCCACGTCCACGTCCACGTCCACGTCCACGTCCACGTCCACGTCCACGTCCACGTCCACGTCCACGTCCACGTCCACGTCCATGTCCACGTCCACGTCCACGTCCACGTCCAAGTCCACGTCCACGTCCACGTCCACGTCCATGTCCACGTCCACGTCCACGTCCACGTCCATGTCCACGTCCACGTCCACGTCCACGTCCACGTCCACGTCCACGTCCACGTCCACGTCCACGTCCACGTCCACGTCCACGTCCACGTCCACGTCCACGTCCACGTCCACGTCCACGTCCATGTCCACGTCCACGTCCACGTCCACGTCCACGTCCACGTCCACGTCCACGTCCACGTCCACGTCCACGTCCACGTCCACGTCCACGTCCACGTCCACGTCCATGTCCACGTCCACGTCCACGTCACGTCCACGTCCACGTCCATGTCCACGTCCACGTCCACGTCCACGTCCATGTCCACGTCCATGTCCACGTCCACGTCCACGTCCATGTCCACGTCCACGTCCACGTCCACGTCCACGTCCGTCCACGTCCACGTCCACGTCCACGTCCATGTCCACGTCCACGTCCACGTCCACGTCCATGTCCACGTCCACGTCCACGTCCACGTCCACGTCCATGTCCACGTCCACGTCCACGTCCACGCCCACGTCCACGTCCACGTCCACGTCCACGTCCACGTCCACGTCCACGTCCACGTCCACGTCCACGTCCATGTCCACGTCCACGTCCACGTCCACGTCCACGTCCACGTCCACGTCCACGTCCATGTCCACGTCCACGTCCACGTCCACGTCCACGTCCACGTCCACGTCCACGTCCATGTCCACGTCCACGTCCATGTCCACGTCCACGTCCACGTCCACGTCCACGTCCACGTCCACGTCCACGTCCATGTCCACGTCCACGTCCACGTCCACGTCCACGTCCACGTCCACGTCCACGTCCATGTCCACGTCCACGTCCACGTCCACGTCCACGTCCACGTCCATGTCCACGTCCACGTCCACGTCCACGTCCATGTCCACGTCCACGTCCACGTCCACGTCCACGTCCACGTCCACGTCCATGTCCACGTCCACGTCCACGTCCACGTCCATGTCCACGTCCACGTCCACGTCCACCACCCACGTCCACGTCCACGTCCACGTCCACGTCCACGTCCACGTCCACGTCCACGTCCATGTCCACGTCCACGTCCACGTCCACGTCCACGTCCACGTCCACGTCCACGTCCACGTCCACGTCCACGTCCACGTCCACGTCCACGTCCACGTCCATGTCCACGTCCACGTCCACGTCCACGTCCACGTCCACGTCCACGTCCATGTCACGTCCACGTCCACGTCCACGTCCACGTCCATGTCCACGTCCACGTCCACGTCCACGTCCACGTCCATGTCCACGTCCACGTCCACGTCCACGTCCACGTCCACGTCCACGTCCACGTCCACGTCCACGTCCACGTCCACGTCCATGTCCACGTCCACGTCCACGTCCACGTCCACGTCCACGTCCACGTCCACGTCCACGTCCACGTCCACGTCCATGTCCACGTCCACGTCCACGTCCACGTCCACGTCCACGTCCACGTCCACGTCCACGTCCATGTCCACGTCCACGTCCACGTCCACGTCCACGTCCACGTCCACGTCCACGTCCACGTCCACGTCCACGTCCACGTCCACGTCCACGTCCACGTCCACGTCCACGTCCACGTCCACGTCCACGTCCACGTCCACGTCCATGTCCACGTCCACGTCCACGTCCACGTCCACGTCACGTCCACGTCCACGTCCACGTCCACGTCCACGTCCACGTCCATGTCCACGTCCACGTCCACGTCCACGTCCACGTCCACGTCCACGTCCACGTCCACGTCCACGTCCACGTCCACGTCCACGTCCACGTCCACGTCCACGTCCACGTCCACGTCCATGTCCACGTCCACGTCCACGTCCACGTCCACGTCCACGTCCACGTCCACGTCCACGTCCAACGTCCACGTCCACGTCCACGTCCACGTCCACGTCCACGTCACGTCCACGTCCACGTCACGTCCACGTCCACGTCCACGTCCACGTCCACGTCCACGTCCACGTCCACGTCCACGTCCATGTCCACGTCCACGTCCACGTCCACGTCCACGTCCACGTCCACGTCCACGTCCACGTCCACGTCCACGTCCACGTCCACGTCCACGTCCACGTCCACGTCCACGTCCACGTCCACGTCCACGTCCACGTCCACGTCCACGTCCACGTCCACGTCCACGTCCACGTCCATGTCCACGTCCACGTCCACGTTCCACGTCCACGTCCACGTCCACGTCCACGTCCATGTCCACGTCCACGTCCACGTCCACGTCCACGTCCACGTCCACGTCCATGTCCACGTCCACGTCCACGTCCATGTCCACGTCCACGTCCACGTCCACGTCCACGTCCACGTCCACGTCCACGTCCATGTCCACGTCCACGTCCACGTCCACGTCCACGTCCACGTCCACGTCCACGTCACGTCCACGTCCACGTCCATGTCCACGTCCAGTCCACGTCCACGTCCACGTCCACGTCCATGTCCACGTCCACGTCCACGTCCACGTCCACGTCCACGTCCACGTCCATGTCCACGTCCACGTCCACGTCCACGTCCACGTCCACGTCCACGTCCACGTCCACGTCCACGTCCACGTCCACGTCCACGTCCACGTCCACGTCCACGTCCACGTCCACGTCCACGTCCACGTCCACGTCCATGTCCACGTCCACGTCCACGTCCACGTCCACGTCCACGTCCACGTCCACGTCCACGTCCACGTCCACGTCCACGTCCACGTCCATGTCCACGTCCACGTCCACGTCCACGTCCACGTCCACGTCCATGTCCACGTCCACGTCCACGTCACGTCCACGTCCACGTCCACGTCCACGTCCATGTCCACGTCCACGTCCACGTCCACGTCCGTCCACGTCCACGTCCATGTCCACGTCCACGTCCACGTCCACGTCCACGTCCACGTCCACGTCCACGTCCATGTCCACGTCCACGTCCACGTCCACGTCCACGTCCACGTCCACGTCCACCCACGTCCACGTCCACGTCCACGTCCACGTCCATGTCCACGTCCACGTCACGTCCACGTCCACGTCCACGTCCACGTCCATGTCCACGTCCACGTCCACGTCCACGTCCACGTCCATGTCCACGTCCACGTCCACGTCCACGTCCACGTCCATGTCCACGTCCACGTCCACGTCCACGTCCACGTCCATGTCCACGTCCACGTCCACGTCCACGTCCACGTCCACGTCCACGTCCACGTCCACGTCCACGTCCACGTCCACGTCCACGTCCACGTCCACGTCCACGTCCACGTCCACGTCCACGTCCACGTCCACGTCCACGTCCACGTCCACGTCCACGTCCATGTCCACGTCCACGTCCACGTCCACGTCCACGTCCACGTCCACGTCCACGTCCACGTCCACGTCCACGTCCACGTCCACGTCCACGTCCACGTCCACGTCCACGTCCATGTCCACGTCCACGTCCACGTCCATGTCCACGTCCACGTCCACGTCCACGTCCATGTCCACGTCCACGTCCACGTCCACGTCCACGTCCACGTCCACGTCCACGTCCACGTCCATGTCCACGTCCACGTCCATGTCCACGTCCACGTCCACGTCCACGTCCACGTCCACGTCCATGTCCACGTCCACGTCCACGTCCATGTCCACGTCCACGTCCACGTCCACGTCCACGTCCACGTCCACGTCCACGTCCACGTCCACGTCCACGTCCACGTCCACGTCCACGTCCACGTCCACGTCCATGTCCACGTCCTGTCCACGTCCACGTCCATGTCCACGTCCACGTCCACGTCCACGTCCACGTCCACGTCCACGTCCATGTCACGTCCACGTCCACGTCCATGTCCACGTCCACGTCCACGTCCACGTCCAGTCCACGTCCACGTCCACGTCCACGTCCACGTCCACGTCCACGTCCACGTCCACGTCCATGTCCACGTCCACGTCCATGTCCACGTCCACGTCCACGTCCACGTCCACGTCCATGTCCACGTCCACGTCCACGTCCATGTCCACGTCCATGTCCACGTCCACGTCCACGTCCACGTCCATGTCCACGTCCACGTCCACGTCCACGTCCACGTCCACGTCCACGTCCACGTCCACGTCCACGTCCATGTCCACGTCCACGTCCACGTCCACGTCCACGTCCACGTCCACGTCCATGTCCACGTCCACGTCCACGTCCACGTCCACGTCCACGTCCACGTCCATGTCCACGTCCACGTCCACGTCCACGTCCACGTCCACGTCCACGTCCACGTCCACGTCCACGTCCACGTCCACGTCCACGTCCACGTCCACGTCCACGTCCACGTCCATGTCCACGTCCACGTCCACGTCCATGTCCACGTCCACGTCCACGTCCACGTCCACGTCCACGTCCACGTCCACGTCCACGTCCATGTCCACGTCCACGTCCACGTCCACGTCCACGTCCACGTCCAGTCCACGTCCACGTCCACGTCCACGTCCACGTCCACGTCCATGTCCACGTCCACGTCCACGTCCACGTCCACGTCCACGTCCACGTCCACGTCCACGTCCACGTCCACGTCCACGTCCACGTCCACGTCCACGTCCACGTCCACGTCACGTCCACGTCCACGTCCACGTCCACGTCCATGTCCACGTCCACGTCCACGTCCACGTCCACGTCCACGTCCACGTCCACGTCCACGTCCACGTCCACGTCCACGTCCATGTCCACGTCCACGTCCACGTCCACGTCCACGTCCACGTCCATGTCCACGTCCACGTCCACGTCCACGTCCACGTCCACGTCCACGTCCATGTCCACGTCCACGTCCACGTCCACGTCCACGTCCACGTCCACGTCCACGTCCATGTCCACGTCCACGTCACGTCCACGTCCACGTCCACGTCCACGTCCACGTCCACGTCCACGTCCACGTCCACGTCCACGTCCACGTCCACGTCCACGTCCATGTCCACGTCCACGTCCACGTCCACGTCCACGTCCACGTCCACGTTCCACGTCACGTCCCCCACGTCCACGTCCACGTCCACGTCCACGTCCACGTCCACGTCCACGTCCACGTCCACGTCCATGTCCACGTCCACGTCCACGTCCACGTCCACGTCCACGTCCACGTCCACGTCCATGTCCACGTCCACGTCCACGTCCACGTCCACGTCCACGTCCACGTCCACGTCCACGTCCACGTCCACGTCCACGTCCACGTCCACGTCCACGTCCATGTCCACGTCCACGTCCATGTCCACGTCCACGTCCACGTCCACGTCCACGTCCACGTCCACGTCCACGTCCACGTCCATGTCCACGTCCACGTCCACGTCCACGTCCACGTCCACGTCCACGTCCACGTCCACGTCCACGTCCACGTCCACGTCCACGTCCACGTCCACGTCCACGTCCACGTCCACGTCCACGTCCACGTCCACGTCCACGTCCACGTCCACGTCCACGTCCACGTCCACGTCCACGTCCACGTCCACGTCCACGTCCACGTCCACGTCCACGTCCATGTCCACGTCCACGTCCACGTCCACGTCCACGTCCATGTCCACGTCCACGTCCAGTCCATGTCCACGTCCACGTCCACGTCCACGTCCATGTCCACGTCCACGTCCACGTCCACGTCCACGTCCACGTCCACGTCCACGTCCACGTCCACGTCCACGTCCACGTCCACGTCCACGTCCACGTCCATGTCCACGTCCACGTCAACGTCCACGTCCATGTCCACGTCCACGTCCACGTCCACGTCCACGTCCATGTCCACGTCCACGTCCACGTCCACGTCCATGTCCACGTCCACGTCCACGTCCACGTCCACGTCCATGTCCACGTCCACGTCCACGTCCACGTCCATGTCCACGTCCACGTCCACGTCCACGTCCACGTCCACGTCCACGTCCAGTCCACGTCCACGTCCACGTCCACGTCCACGTCCACGTCCACGTCACGTCACGTCCACGTCCACGTCCACGTCCATGTCCACGTCCACGTCCACGTCCACGTCCACGTCCACGTCCATGTCCACGTCCACGTCCACGTCCACGTCCACGTCCATGTCCACGTCCACGTCCACGTCCATGTCCACGTCCACGTCCACGTCCACGTCCACGTCCACGTCCACGTCCACGTCCACGTCCACGTCCACGTCCACGTCCATGTCCACGTCCACGTCCACGTCCACGTCCACGTCCACGTCCACGTCCACGTCCACGTCCACGTCCACGTCCACGTCCACGTCCACGTCCACGTCCATGTCCACGTCCACGTCCACGTCCACGTCCATGTCCACGTCCACGTCCACGTCCATGTCCACGTCCACGTCCACGTCCAGTCCACGTCCACGTCCACGTCCACGTCCACGTCCACGTCCACGTCCACGTCCACGTCCACGTCCACGTCCACGTCACGTCCACGTCCACGTCCACGTCCACGTCCACGTCCACGTCCACGTCCACGTCCACGTCCACCAGTCCACGTCCACGTCCACGTCCACGTCCACGTCCACGTCCACGTCCACGTCCACGTCCACGTCCATGTCCACGTCCACGTCCACGTCCACGTCCACGTCCACGTCCACGTCCACGTCCACGTCCATGTCCACGTCCACGTCCACGTCCACGTCCACGTCCACGTCCACGTCCACGTCCACGTCCACGTCCACGTCCACGTCCACGTCCATGTCCACGTCCACGTCCACGTCCACGTCCACGTCCACGTCCACGTCCAGTCCACGTCCACGTCCACGTCCACGTCCACGTCCACGTCCACGTCCACGTCCACGTCCACGTCCACGTCCATGTCCACGTCCACGTCCACGTCAGTCCACGTCCACGTCCACGTCCACGTCCACGTCCACGTCCACCACCACGTCCACGTCCACGTCCACGTCCATGTCCACGTCCACGTCCACGTCCACGTCCACGTCCACGTCCACGTCCACGTCCACGTCCACGTCCACGTCCATGTCCACGTCCACGTCCACGTCCACGTCCACGTCCATGTCCACGTCCACGTCCACGTCCACGTCCACGTCCACGTCCACGTCCACGTCCACGTCCACGTCCACGTCCATGTCCACGTCCACGTCCACGTCCACGTCCACGTCCACGTCCACGTCCACGTCCACGCCACGTCCACCACGTCCACGTCCCCCCGTCCACGTCCAGTCCACGTCCACGTCCACGTCCACGTCCACGTCCACGTCCACGTCCACGTCCACGTCCATGTCCACGTCCACGTCCACGTCCACGTCCACGTCCACGTCCACGTCCACGTCCATGTCCACGTCCACGTCCACGTCCACGTCCACGTCCACGTCCACGTCCACGTCCACGTCCACGTCCACGTCCACGTCCACGTCCACGTCCACGTCCACGTCCACGTCCACGTCCACGTCCACGTCCACGTCCACGTCCACGTCCACGTCCACGTCCACGTCCACGTCCACGTCCATGTCCACGTCCACGTCCACGTCCACGTCCACGTCCATGTCCACGTCCACGTCCACGTCCATGTCCACGTCCACGTCCACGTCCACGTCCACGTCCATCCACGTCCACGTCCACGTCCACGTCCACGTCCACGTCCACGTCCACGTCCATGTCCACGTCCACGTCCACGTCCACGTCCACGTCCATGTCCACGTCCACGTCCACGTCCACGTCCACGTCCACGTCCACGTCCACGTCCACGTCCACGTCCACGTCCACGTCCACGTCCACGTCCACGTCCACGTCCACGTCCACGTCCATGTCCACGTCCACGTCCACGTCCACGTCCACGTCCACGTCCACGTCCACGTCCACGTCCACGTCCACGTCCACGTCCACGTCCACGTCCACGTCCACGTCCACGTCCACGTCCACGTCCACGTCCACGTCCACGTCCATGTCCACGTCCACGTCCACGTCCACGTCCATGTCCACGTCCACGTCCACGTCCACGTCCATGTCCACGTCCACGTCCACGTCCACGTCCATGTCCACGTCCACGTCCACGTCCACGTCCACGTCCACGTCCACGTCCACGTCCATGTCCACGTCCACGTCCACGTCCATGTCCACGTCCATGTCCACGTCCACGTCCACGTCCACGTCCACGTCCACGTCCACGTCCACGTCCACGTCCACGTCCACGTCCACGTCCACGTCCACGTCCACGTCCATGTCCACGTCCACGTCCATGTCCACGTCCACGTCCACGTCCACGTCCATGTCCACGTCCACGTCAACCCCACGTCCACGTCCACGTCCACGTCCATGTCACGTCCACGTCCACGTCCACGTCCACGTCCACGTCCACGTCCACGTCCACGTCCACGTCCACGTCCATGTCCACGTCCATGTCCACGTCCACGTCCACGTCCATGTCCACGTCCACGTCCACGTCCACGTCCACGTCCACGTCCACGTCCACGTCCATGTCCACGTCCACGTCCACGTCCACGTCCATGTCCACGTCCACGTCCATGTCCACGTCCACGTCCACGTCCACGTCCACGTCCACGTCCACGTCCACGTCCACGTCCACGTCCACGTCCACGTCCACGTCCACGTCCACGTCCATGTCCACGTCCACGTCCACGTCCACGTCCATGTCCACGTCCACGTCCACGTCCACGTCCACGTCCACGTCCACGTCCACGTCCACGTCCACGTCCACGTCCACGTCCATGTCCACGTCCACGTCCACGTCCATGTCCACGTCCACGTCCACGTCCACGTCCACGTCCACGTCCACGTCCACGTCCACGTCCACGTCCACGTCCACGTCCACGTCCACGTCCACGTCCACGTCCACGTCCACGTCCACGTCCACGTCCACGTCCATGTCCACGTCCACGTCCACGTCCACGTCCACGTCCACGTCCACGTCCATGTCCACGTCCACGTCCAGTCCACGTCCACGTCCACGTCCACGTCCACGTCCACGTCCACGTCCACGTCCACGTCCACGTCCACGTCCACGTCACGTCCACGTCCACGTCCACGTCCATGTCCACGTCCACGTCCACGTCCACGTCCACGTCCACGTCCATGTCCACGTCCACGTCCACGTCCACGTCCACGTCCACGTCCACGTCCACGTCCACGTCCACGTCCACGTCCACGTCCACGTCCACGTCCACGTCCACGTCCACGTCCATGTCCACGTCCACGTCCACGTCCACGTCCACGTCCACGTCCACGTCCACGTCCATGTCCACGTCCACGTCCACGTCCACGTCCACGTCCACGTCCACGTCCACGTCCACGTTCCACGTCCACGTCCACGTCCACGTCCATGTCCACGTCCACGTCCACGTCCACGTCCACGTCCACGTCCACGTCACGTCCACGTCCACGTCCACGTCCACGTCCACGTCCACGTCCACGTCCACGTCATGTCCACGTCCACGTCCACGTCCATGTCCACGTCCACGTCCACGTCCACGTCCACGTCCACGTCCACGTCCACGTCCACGTCCACGTCCACGTCCACGTCCACGTCCACGTCCACGTCCACGTCCATGTCCACGTCCACGTCCACGTCCACGTCCATGTCCATGTCCACGTCCACGTCCACGTCCACGTCCACGTCCACGTCCACGTCCACGTCCACGTCCACGTCCACGTCCACGTCCACGTCCACGTCCACGTCATCCACGTCCACGTCCACGTCCACGTCCACGTCCACGTCCACGTCCACGTCCACGTCCACGTCCACGTCCAAGTCCACGTCCACGTCAGGGTTTACGTCCATGTCCACGTCCACGTCCACGTCCACGTCCACGTCCACGTCCACGTCCACGTCCACGTCCACGTCCACGTCCACGTCCACGTCCACGTCCACGTCCACGTCCATGTCCACGTCCACGTCCACGTCCACGTCCAGTCCACGTCCACGTCCACGTCCACGTCCACGTCCACGTCCACGTCCACGTCCACGTCCACGTCCACGTCCACGTCCACGTCCACGTCCACGTCCACGTCCATGTCCACGTCCACGTCCACGTCCATGTCCACGTCCACGTCCACGTCCACGTCCACGTCCACGTCCACGTCCACGTCCACGTCCACGTCCACGTCCACGTCCACGTCCACGTCCACGTCCACGTCCACGTCCACGTCCACGTCCACGTCCACGTCCACGTCCACGTCCACGTCCACGTCCACGTCCACGTCCACGTCCACGTCCACGTCCATGTCCACGTCCACGTCCACGTCCACGTCCATGTCCACGTCCACGTCCACGTCCACGTCCACGTCCACGTCCACGTCCACGTCCACGTCCACGTCCACGTCCACGTCCACGTCCACGTCCACGTCCACGTCCACGTCCACGTCCACGTCCACGTCACGTCCACGTCCATGTCCACGTCCACGTCCACGTCCACGTCCACGTCCACGTCCCACGTCCACGTCCACGTCCACGTCCACGTCCACGTCCATGTCCACGTCCACGTCCACGTCGACGGTCACGTCCACGTCCACGTCCACGTCCACGTCCACGTCCACGTCCACGTCCATGTCCACGTCCACGTCCACGTCCACGTCCACGTCCACGTCCACGTCCACGTCCACGTCCACGTCCACGTCCACGTCCATGTCCACGTCCACGTCCACGTCCACGTCCACGTCCACGTCCACGTCCACGTCCACGTCCACGTCCACGTCCACGTCCACGTCCACGTCCACGTCCACGTCCACGTCCACGTCCACGTCCATGTCCACGTCCGTCACGTCCATGTCCACGTCCACGTCCACGTCCACGTCATGTCCACGTCCACGTCCACGTCCACGTCCACGTCCACGTCCACGTCCACGTCCACGTCCACGTCCACGTCCACGTCCACGTCCACGTCCACGTCCACGTCCACGTCCACGTCCACGTCCACGTCCACGTCCATGTCCACGTCCACGTCCACGTCCACGTCCACGTCCACGTCCACGTCCACGTCCACGTCCACGTCCACGTCCATGTCCACGTCCACGTCCACGTCCACGTCCACGTCCATGTCCACGTCCACGTCCACGTCCATGTCCACGTCCACGTCCATGTCCACGTCCACGTCACGCACGTCCACGTCCACGTCCACGTCCACGTCCACGTCCACGTCCACGTCCACGTCCACGTCCACGTCCACGTCCACGTCCACGTCCACGTCCACGTCCACGTCCACGTCCACGTCCACGTCCACGTCCACGTCCACGTCCACGTCCACGTCCACGTCCACGTCCACGTCCACGTCCACGTCCATGTCCACGTCCACGTCCACGTCCACGTCCATGTCCACGTCCACGTCCACGTCCACGTCCACGTCCACGTCCACGTCCACGTCCACGTCCACGTCCACGTCCACGTCCACGTCCACGTCCACGTCCACGTCCACGTCCACCCCACGTCCACGTCCACGTCCACGTCCACGTCCATGTCCACGTCCACGTCCACGTCCACGTCCACGTCCACGTCCACGTCCACGTCCACGTCCACGTCCACGTCACGTCCACGTCCACGTCCACGTCCACGTCCACGTCCACGTCCATGTCCACGTCCACGTCCACGTCCACGTCCACGTCCACGTCCACGTCCACGTCCACGTCCACGTCCACGTCCACGTCCACGTCCACGTCCACGTCCACGTCCACGTCCATGTCCATCCACGTCCACGTCCACGTCCATGTCCACGTCCACGTCCACGTCCACGTCCATGTCCACGTCCACGTCCACGTCCACGTCCACGTCCACGTCCACGTCCACGTCCACGTCCACGTCCACGTCCACGTCCACGTCCACGTCCACGTCCACGTCCACGTCCACGTCCACGTCCACGTCCACGTCCACGTCCACGTCCACGTCCACGTCCACGTCCACGTCCACGTCCACGTCCACGTCCACGTCCACGTCCACGTCCACGTCCACGTCCACGTCCACGTCCATGTCCACGTCCACGTCCACGTCCACGTCCACGTCATGTCCACGTCCACGTCCACGTCCACGTCCACGTCCACGTCCACGTCCACGTCCACGTCCACGTCCACGTCCACGTCCACGTCCATGTCCACGTCCACGTCCACGTCCAGTCCACGTCCACGTCCACGTCCACGTCCATGTCCACGTCCACGTCCACGTCCACGTCCACGTCCACGTCCACGTCCACGTCCACGTCCACGTCCACGTCCACGTCCACGTCCACGTCCACGTCCACGTCCACGTCCACGTCCACGTCCACGTCCACGTCCAGTCCACGTCCACGTCCACGTCCACGTCCACGTCCACGTCCACGTCCACGTCCACGTCCACGTCCACGTCCATGTCCACGTCCACGTCCACGTCCACGTCCACGTCCACGTCCACGTCCAGTCCACGTCCACGTCCACGTCCACGTCCACGTCCACGTCCACGTCCACGTCCACGTCCACGTCCATGTCCACGTCCACGTCCACGTCCACGTCCACGTCCACGTCCACGTCCACGTCCACGTCCACGTCCACGTCCACGTCCACGTCCACGTCCACGTCCACGTCCACGTCCACGTCCACGTCCATGTCCACGTCCACGTCCACGTCCACGTCCACGTCCACGTCCATGTCCACGTCCACGTCCACGTCCACGTCCACGTCCACGTCCACGTCCACGTCCACGTCCACGTCCACGTCCACGTCCACGTCCACGTCCACGTCCACGTCCACGTCCACGTCCACGTCCACGTCCACGTCACGTCCACGTCCACGTCCACGTCCAGTCCACGTCCACGTCCACGTCCACGTCCACGTCCATGTCCACGTCCACGTCCACGTCCACGTCCACGTCCACGTCCACGTCCACGTCCACGTCCACGTCCACGTCCACGTCCACGTCCACGTCCACGTCCATGTCCACGTCCACGTCCACGTCCACGTCCACGTCCACGTCCACGTCCACGTCCACGTCCACGTCCACGTCCACGTCCATGTCCACGTCCACGTCCACGTCCACGTCCACGTCCACGTCCACGTCCACGTCCACGTCCACGTCCACGTCCACGTCCACGTCCACGTCCACGTCCACGTCCACGTCCACGTCCACGTCCATGTCCACGTCCACGTCCACGTCCACGTCCAGTCCACGTCCACGTCCACGTCCACGTCCACGTCCATGTCCACGTCCACGTCCACGTCCACGTCCACGTCCACGTCCACGTCCACGTCCACGTCCACGTCCACGTCCACGTCCACGTCCATGTCCACGTCCACGTCCACGTCCATGTCCACGTCACCAGTCCATGTCCACGTCCACGTCCACGTCCACGTCCACGTCCACGTCCACGTCCACGTCCACGTCCACGTCCACGTCCACGTCCATGTCACGTCCACGTCCACGTCCACGTCCACGTCCACGTCCACGTCCACGTCCACGTCCACGTCCACGTCCACGTCCACGTCCACGTCCACGTCCACGTCCACGTCCACGTCCACGTCCACGTCCACGTCCACGTCCACGTCCACGTCCACGTCCACGTCCATGTCCACGTCCACGTCCACGTCCACGTCCACGTCCATGTCCACGTCCACGTCCACGTCCACGTCCACGTCCACGTCCACGTCCACGTCCACGTCCACGTCCACGTCCACGTCCACGTCCACGTCCACGTCCACGTCCACGTCCACGTCCACGTCCACGTCCACGTCCACGTCCACGTCCACGTCCACGTCCACGTCCACGTCCACGTCACGTCCACGTCCACGTCCACGTCCACGTCCACGTCCCAGTCCACGTCCACGTCCACGTCCACGTCCACGTCCACGTCCACGTCCACGTCCACGTCCACGTCCACGTCCACGTCCACGTCCACGTCCACGTCCACGTCCACGTCCACGTCCACGTCCACGTCCACGTCCACGTCCACGTCCACGTCCACGTCCACGTCCACGTCCACGTCCACGTCCACGTCCACGTCCACGTCCACGTCCACGTCCACGTCCACGTCCACGTCCACGTCCACGTCCACGTCCACGTCCACGTCCACGTCCACGTCCACGTCCATGTCCACGTCCACGTCCACGTCCACGTCCACGTCCATGTCCACGTCCACGTCCACGTCCACGTCCATGTCCACGTCACGTCCACGTCCACGTCCACGTCCACGTCCACGTCCATGTCCACGTCCACGTCCACGTCCACACGTCCACGTCCACGTCCACGTCCACGTCCACGTCCACGTCCACGTCCACGTCCACGTCCACGTCCACGTCCACGTCCACGTCCACGTCCACGTCCACGTCCACGTCCATGTCCACGTCCACGTCCACGTCCACGTCCACGTCCACGTCCACGTCCACGTCCACGTCCATGTCCACGTCCACGTCCACGTCCACGTCCATGTCCACGTCCACGTCCACGTCCACGTCCACGTCCACGTCCACGTCCACGTCCATGTCCACGTCCACGTCCACGTCCATGTCCACGTCCACGTCCATGTCCACGTCCACGTCCACGTCCACGTCCACGTCCACGTCCACGTCCACACGTCCACGTCCACGTCCACGTCCACGTCACGTCCACGTCCACGTCCACGTCCACGTCCACGTCCACGTCCACGTCCACGTCCACGTCCACGTCCACGTCCACGTCCACGTCCACGTCCACGTCCATGTCCACGTCCACGTCCACGTCCACGTCCACGTCCACGTCCACGTCCACGTCCACGTCCACGTCCACGTCCACGTCCACGTCCACGTCCACGTCCACGTCCATGTCCACGTCCACGTCCACGTCCACGTCCACGTCCCCCACGTCCACGTCCACGTCCACGTCCACGTCCACGTCCATGTCCACGTCCACGTCCACGTCCACGTCCACGTCCATGTCCACTCCACGTCCACGTCCACGTCCACGTCCACGTCCACGTCCACGTCCACGTCCACGTCCACGTCCAGTCCACGTCCACGTCCACGTCCACGTCCACGTCCACGTCCACGTCCAGTCCACGTCCACGTCCATGTCCACGTCCACGTCCACGTCCACGTCCATGTCCACGTCCACGTCCACGTCCATGTCCACGTCCACGTCCACGTCCACGTCCACGTCCATGTCCACGTCCACGTCCACGTCCACGTCCACGTCCACGTCCACGTCCACGTCCACGTCCACGTCCACGTCCACGTCCACGTCCACGTCCACGTCCACGTCCACGTCCACGTCCACGTCCACGTCCACGTCCACGTCCACGTCCCCACGTCCACGTCCACGTCCACGTCCACGTCCACGTCCATGTCCACGTCCACGTCCACGTCACGTCCACGTCCACGTCCACGTCCACGTCCACGTCACGTCCACGTCCACGTCCACGTCCACGTCCACGTCCATGTCCACGTCCACGTCCACGTCCACGTCCACGTCCACGTCCACGTCCACGTCCACGTCACGTCCACGTCCACGTCCATGTCCACGTCCACGTCCACGTCCACGTCCACGTCCACGTCCACGTCCCACGTCCACGTCCACGTCCACGTCCACGTCCACGTCCACGTCCATGTCCACGTCCACGTCCACGTCCACGTCCACGTCCACGTCCACGTCCACGTCCATGTCCACGTCCACGTCCACGTCCACGTCCACGTCCACGTCCACGTCCACGTCCACGTCCACGTCCACGTCCACGTCCACGTCCACGTCCACGTCCACGTCCACGTCCACGTCCACGTCCACGTCCACGTCCACGTCCACGTCCACGTCCATGTCCACGTCCACGTCCACGTCCACGTCCACGTCCACGTCCACGTCCACGTCCACGTCCACGTCCATGTCCACGTCCACGTCCACGTCCACGTCCACGTCCACGTCCACGTCCACGTCCACGTCCACGTCCACGTCCACGTCCACGTCCACGTCCACGTCCACGTCCACGTCCACGTCCACGTCCATGTCCACGTCCACGTCCACGTCCACGTCCATGTCCACGTCCACGTCCACGTCCACGTCCATGTCCACGTCCACGTCCACGTCCACGTCCACGTCCACGTCCACGTCCACGTCCACGTCCACGTCCACGTCCACGTCCACGTCCACGTCCACGTCCACGTCCACGTCCACGTCCACGTCCACGTCCACGTCCACGTCCACGTCCACGTCCACGTCCACGTCCATGTCCACGTCCATGTCCACGTCCACGTCCACGTCCACGTCCACGTCCACGTCCACGTCCACGTCCACGTCCACGTCCACGTCCACGTCCACGTCCACGTCCACGTCCACGTCCACGTCCACGTCCAGTCCACGTCCACGTCCACGTCCACGTCCACGTCCACGTCCACGTCCATGTCCACGTCCACGTCCACGTCCACGTCCACGTCCACGTCCACGTCCACGTCCACGTCCACGTCCACGTCCACGTCCACGTCCACGTCCACGTCCACGTCCACGTCCACGTCCACGTCCACGTCCACGTCCATGTCCACGTCCACGTCCACGTCCACGTCCACGTCCACGTCCACGTCCACGTCCACGTCCACGTCCACGTCCACGTCCATGTCCACGTCCACGTCCACGTCTCCACGTCCACGTCCACGTCCACGTCCACGTCCACGTCCACGTCCATGTCCACGTCCACGTCCACGTCCACGTCCACGTCCACGTCCACGTCCACGTCCACGTCCACGTCCATGTCCACGTCACGTCCACGTCCACGTCCACGTCCACGTCCACGTCCACGTCCACGTCCACGTCCACGTCCACGTCCACGTCCACGTCCACGTCCACGTCCACGTCCATGTCCACGTCCACGTCCACGTCCACGTCCACGTCCACGTCCACGTCCACGTCCACGTCCACGTCCACGTCCACGTCCACGTCCACGTCCACGTCCACGTCCACGTCCACGTCCACGTCCACGTCCATGTCCACGTCCACGTCCACGTCCACGTCCACGTCCATGTCCACGTCCACGTCCACGTCCACGTCCACGTCCACGTCCACGTCCACGTCCACGTCCATGTCCACGTCCACGTCCACGTCCACGTCCATGTCCACGTCCACGTCCACGTCCACGTCCATGTCCACGTCCACGTCCACGTCCACGTCCACGTCACGTCCACGTCCATGTCCACGTCCACGTCCACGTCCACGTCCACGTCCACGTCCACGTCCACGTCCACGTCCATGTCCACGTCCACGTCCACGTCCACGTCCACGTCCACGTCACACGTCCATGTCCACGTCCACGTCCACGTCCACGTCCACGTCCACGTCCACGTCCACGTCCACGTCCACGTCCACGTCCACGTCCATGTCCACGTCCACGTCCACGTCCACGTCCATGTCCACGTCCACGTCCACGTCCACGTCCATGTCCACGTCCACGTCCACGTCCACGTCCACGTCCACGTCCACGTCCACGTCCACGTCCACGTCCACGTCCACGTCCACGTCCATGTCCACGTCCACGTCCACGTCCACGTCCATGTCCACGTCCACGTCCACGTCCACGTCCACGTCCACGTCCACGTCCACGTCCACGTCCACGTCCACGTCCACGTCCACGTCCACGTCCACGTCCACGTCCACGTCCACGTCCACGTCCACGTCACGTCCGTCCACGTCCACGTCCACGTCCACGTCCACGTCCACGTCCCGTCCACGTCCACGTCCACGTCCCACGTCCACGTCCCACCTCCACGTCCACGTCCACGTCCACGTCCACGTCCACGTTCCCGTCCACGTCCACGTCCACGTCCACGTCCACGTCCACGTCCACGTCCAGTCCACGTCCAACCACCCCACGTCCACGTCCACGTCCACGTCCACGTCCACGTCCACTCCACGTCCACGTCCCCACACCACGTCCACGTCCACGTCCACACGTCGTCCACAGTCCACGTCCACGTCCACGTCCACGTCCACGTCCCACACCACGTCCACGTCCACGTCCAACGTCCACACGTCCACGTCCACGTCCACGTCCACGTCCATGTCCACGTCCACGTCCACGTCCAACACGTCCACGTCCACGTCCACGTCCACGTCCACGTCCACGTCCATGTCCACGTCCACGTCCGTCCACGACGTCCACGTCCACGTCCACGTCCACGTCATGCCACACGTCCACGCACGTCCACGTCCACGTCCACGTCCACGTCCACCCACGTCCACGTCCACGTCCACGTCGTCCACGTCCATTCCCACGTCCACGTCCACGTCCACCACGTCATGTCCACGTCCACGTCCACGTCCACGTCCAGTCCAACCACGTCCACGTCCACGTCCACGTCCACGTCCACGTCCACGTCCACCACGTCCATCCCACGTCCGTCCACGTCCACGTCACGTCCAATCCACGTCACGTCCACGTCACGTCCACGTCCACGTCCACGTCCACGTCCACGTCCACGTCCATGTCCTCCATGTCCACGTCCACGTCCCGTCCATGTCCACGTCCAGTCCACCACGTCCACGTCCACGTCCACGTCCACGTCCCGTCCACGTCCAGTCCACGTCCACGTCCACGTCACGTCCACGTCCATGTCCACGTCCCCACGTCCACGTCCACCCGTCCACGTCCATGTCCACGTCCACGTCCACGTCCAGTCACGTCCACGTCCACGTCCACACCCACGTCCACGTCCATGTCCACGTCCATGTCCACGTCCACGTCCACGTCCACGTCCATGTCCACGTCCACGTCCACGTCCACGTCCACGTCCACGTCCACGTCCACGTCCACGTCCACGTCCACGTCCACGTCCACGTCCACGTCCACGTCCACGTCCACGTCCACGTCCATGTCCACGTCCACGTCCACGTCCACGTCCACGTCCACGTCCACGTCCACGTCCACGTCCACGTCCACGTCCACGTCCACGTCCACGTCCAGTCCACGTCCACGTCCACGTCCACGTCCATGTCCACGTCCACGTCCACGTCCACGTCCACGTCCACGTCCACGTCCACGTCCACGTCCATGTCCACGTCCACGTCCACGTCCACGTCCACGTCCACGTCCACGTCCATGTCCACGTCCACGTCCACGTCCACGTCCACGTCCACGTCCACGTCCACGTCCACGTCCACGTCCACGTCCACGTCCACGTCCACGTCCACGTCCACACCACGTCCACGTCCACGTCCACGTCCACGTCCACGTCCACGTCCACGTCCACGTCCACGTCCAAGTCCACGTCCACGTCCACGTCCACGTCCACGTCCACGTCCACGTCCACGTCCACGTCCACGTCCACGTCCACGTCCACGTCCACGTCCACGTCCACGTCCACGTCACGTCCACGTCCACGTCCACGTCCACGTCCACGTCCACGTCCACGTCCACGTCCACGTCCACGTCCACGCCACGTCCACGTCCACGTCCACGTCCACGTCCACGTCCACGTCCACGTCCACGTCCACGTCCACGTCCACGTCCACGTCCGTCCACGTCCACGTCCACGTCCACGTCCATGTCCACGTCCACGTCCACGTCCACGTCCACGTCCACGTCCACGTCCACGTCCACGTCCACGTCCACGTCCACGTCACGTCCACGTCCACGTCCACGTCCACGTCCACGTCCCGTCCACGTCCATGTCCACGTCCACGTCCACGTCCACGTCCACGTCCACGTCCACGTCCCACGTCCATGTCCACGTCCATGTCACGTCCACGTCCACGTCCACGTCCACGTCCACGTCCATGTCCACGTCCACGTCCACGTCCATGTCCACGTCCACGTCCACGTCCACGTCCACGTCCACGTCCACGTCCACGTCCACGTCCACGTCCACGTCCACGTCCATGTCCACGTCCACGTCCACGTCCACGTCCACGTCCACGTCCACGTCCACGTCCACGTCCACGTCCACGTCTGTCCACGTCCACGTCCACGTCCACGTCCAGTCCACGTCCACGTCCACGTCCACGTCCACGTCCACGTCCACGTCCACGTCCACGTCCACGTCCACGTCCACGTCCACGTCCACGTCCACGTCCACGTCCACGTCCACGTCCACGTCCACGTCCACGTCCACGTCCACGTCCACGTCCACGTCCACGTCCATGTCCACGTCCACGTCCACGTCCACGTCCACGTCCACGTCCACGTCCACGTCCACGTCCACGTCCATGTCCACGTCCACGTCCACGTCCACGTCCACGTCCACGTCCACGTCCACGTCCACGTCCACGTCCACGTCCACGTCCACGTCCACGTCCACGTCCACGTCCATGTCCACGTCCACGTCCACGTCCATGTCCACGTCCACGTCCACGTCCATGTCCACGTCCACGTCCACGTCCACGTCCATGTCCACGTCCACGTCCACGTCCACGTCCATGTCCACGTCCACGTCCACGTCCACGTCCACGTCCACGTCCACGTCCACGTCCACGTCCACGTCCACGTCCACGTCCACGTCCACGTCCACGTCCACGTCCACGTCCACGTCCACGTCCACGTCCACGTCAAGTCCACGTCCACGTCCACGTCCACGTCCACGTCCACGTCCACGTCCACGTCCACGTCCACGTCCACGTCCACGTCCACGTCCACGTCCACGTCCACGTCCACGTCCACGTCCACGTCCACCAGTCCACGTCCACGTCCACGTCCACGTCCACGTCCACGTCCACGTCCACGTCCACGTCCACGTCCACGTCCACGTCCACGTCCACGTCCACGTCCACGTCCACGTCCACGTCCACGTCCACGTCCACGTCCACGTCCACGTCCACGTCCACGTCCACGTCCACGTCCACGTCCACGTCCACGTCCACGTCCACGTCCACGTCCACGTCCACGTCCACGTCCACGTCCATGTCCACGTCCACGTCCACGTCCACGTCCATGTCCACGTCCACGTCCACGTCCATGTCCACGTCCACGTCCACGTCCATGTCCACGTCCACGTCCACGTCCACGTCCACGTCCACGTCCACGTCCACGTCCACGTCCACGTCCACGTCCACGTCCACGTCCACGTCCACGTCCACGTCCACGTCCACGTCCACGTCCACGTCCACGTCCACGTCCACGTCCACGTCCACGTCCACGTCCACGTCCGTCCACGTCCAATCCAGTCCACGTCCACGTACGTCACGTCCATGTCCACGTCCACGTCCACGTCCAGTCCACGTCACCACATCCACGTCACGTCCACGTCCACGTCCACGTCCACGTCCACGTCCACGTCCACGTCCACGTCCACGTCCACGTCCATGTCCACGTCCACGTCCCGTCCACGTCCACGTCCACGTCCACGTCCACGTCCACGTCCACGTCCAGTCCACGTCCACGTCCACGTCCACGTCCACGTCCACGTCCACGTCCACGTCCACGTCCACGTCGTCCACGTCCACGTCCACGTCCACGTCCACGTCCACGTCCACGTCCACGTCCACGTCCACGTCCACGTCCACGTCCACGTCCATGTCCACGTCCATGTCCACGTCCACGTCCACGTCCACGTCCACGTCCACGTCCACGTCCACGTCCACGTCCATGTCCACGTCCACGTCCACGTCCACGTCCACGTCCACGTCCACGTCCACGTCCACGTCCACGTCCACGTCCACGTCCACGTCCACGTCCACGTCCACGTCCACGTCCATGTCCACGTCCACGTCCACGTCCACGTCCACGTCCACGTCCAGTCCACGTCCACCCACGTCACGTCCACGTCCACGTCCACGTCCACGTCCACGTTCACGTCCACGTCCATGTCCACGTCCACGTCCACGTCCACGTCCACGTCCACGTCCACGTCCACGTCCATGTCCACGTCCACGTCCACGTCCACGTCCACGTCCACGTCCACGTCCACGTCCACGTCCACGTCCACGTCCACGTCCACGTCCACGTCCACGTCCACGTCCATGTCCACGTCCACGTCCACGTCCACGTCCACGTCCATGTCCACGTCCACGTCCACGTCCACGTCCACGTCCACGTCCACGTCCACGTCCACGTCCACGTCCACGTCCACGTCCACGTCCACGTCCACGTCCACGTCCACGTCCACGTCCACGTCCACGTCCACGTCCACGTCCACGTCCACGTCCACGTCCATGTCCACGTCCACGTCCACGTCCAGTCCACGTCCACGTCCACGTCCACGTCCACGTCCACGTCCATGTCCACGTCCACGTCCACGTCCACGTCCACGTCCACGTCCACGTCCACGTCCACGTCCACGTCCACGTCCACGTCCACGTCCACGTCCAGTCCACGTCCACGTCCACGTCCACGTCCACGTCCACGTCCACGTCCACGTCCACGTCCACGTCCACGTCCACGTCCACGTCCACGTCCACGTCCACGTCCACGTCCACGTCCACGTCCACGTCCACGTCCACGTCCACGTCCACGTCCACGTCCACGTCCACGTCCACGTCCGTCCACGTCCACGTCCACGTCCAAGTCACGTCCACGTCCACGTCCACGTCCACGTCCACGTCCACGTCCACGTCCACGTCCACGTCCACGTCCACGTCCACGTCCACGTCCACGTCCACGTCCACGTCCACGTCCACGTCCACGTCCACGTCCACGTCCACGTCCACGTCCACGTCCACGTCCACGTCCACGTCCACGTCCACGTCCACGTCCACGTCCACGTCCACGTCCACGTCCACGTCCACGTCCACGTCCACGTCACGTCCACGTCCACGTCCACGTCCATGTCCACGTCCACGTCCACGTCCACGTCCACGTCCACGTCCACGTCCACGTCCACGTCCACGTCCACGTCCACGTCCATGTCCACGTCCACGTCCACGTCCACGTCCACGTCCACGTCCACGTCCACGTCCACGTCCACGTCCACGTCCATGTCCACGTCCACGTCCACGTCCACGTCCACGTCCACGTCCACGTCCACGTCCACGTCCACGTCCACGTCCACGTCCACGTCCACGTCCACGTCACGTCCACGTCCACGTCCACGTCCACGTCCACGTCCACGTCCACGTCCACGTCCATGTCCACGTCCACGTCCGTCCACGTCCACGTCCACGTCCATGTCACGTCCACGTCCACGTCCACGTCCATGTCCACGTCCACGTCCACGTCCACGTCCACGTCCATGTCCACGTCCACGTCCACGTCCACGTCCATGTCCACGTCCACGTCCACGTCCACGTCCACGTCCACGTCCAACACGTCCACGTCCACGTCCACGTCCACGTCCACGTCCACGTCCACGTCCAAGTCCACGTCCACGTCCACGTCCACGTCCACGTCCACGTCCACGTCCACGTCCACGTCACGTGTCCACGTCCACGTCCACGTCCACGTCCACGTCCACGTCCATGTCCACGTCCACGTCCACGTCCACGTCCATGTCCACGTCCACGTCCACGTCCACGTCCACGTCCACGTCCACGTCCACGTCCACGTCCACGTCCACGTCCACGTCCACGTCCACGTCCACGTCCACGTCCACGTCCATGTCCACGTCCATGTCCACGTCCACGTCCACGTCCACGTCCACGTCCACGTCCACGTCCACCCGTCCACGTCCACGTCCACGTCCACGTCCACGTCCACGTCCACGTCCACGTCCACGTCCACGTCCACGTCCAACTCCACGTCCACGTCCACGTCCACGTCCACGTCCATGTCCACGTCCACGTCCACGTCCACGTCCACGTCCACGTCCACGTCCACGTCCACGTCCACGTCCATGTCCACGTCCACGTCCACGTCCACGTCCACGTCCACGTCCACGTCCACGTCCACGTCCACGTCCACGTCCACGTCCACGTCCATGTCCACGTCCACGTCCACGTCCACGTCCACGTCCACGTCCACGTCCACGTCCACGTCCACGTCCATGTCCACGTCCACGTCCATGTCCACGTCCACGTCCACGTCCACGTCCACGTCCATGTCCACGTCCACGTCCACGTCCACGTCCACGTCCACGTCCACGTCCACGTCCATGTCCACGTCCACGTCCACGTCCATGTCCACGTCCACGTCCACGTCACCCAACGTCCATGTCCACGTCCACGTCCACGTCCATGTCCACGTCCACGTCCACGTCCACGTCCAGTCCATGTCCACGTCCACGTCCACGTCACGTCCACGTCCACGTCCACGTCCATGTCCACGTCCACGTCCACGTCCACGTCCACGTCCACGTCCACGTCCACGTCCACGTCCACGTCCACGTCCACGTCCACGTCCACGTCCACGTCCACGTCCACGTCCACGTCCACGTCCACGTCCACGTCCACGTCCACGTCCACGTCCACGTCCACGTCCACGTCCACGTCCATGTCACGTCCACGTCCACGTCCACGTCCACGTCCACGTCCACGTCCACGTCCACGTCCACGTCCATGTCCACGTCCACGTTTGTCCACGTCCACGTCCACGTCCATGTCCACGTCCACGTCCACGTCCATGTCCACGTCCACGTCCACGTCCACGTCCACGTCCACGTCCATGTCCACGTCCACGTCCACGTCCATGTCCACGTCCACGTCCACGTCCACGTCCACGTCCACGTCCACGTCCACGTCCACGTCCACGTCCACGTCCACGTCCATGTCCACGTCCACGTCCACGTCCATGTCCACGTCCACGTCCATGTCCACGTCCACGTCCATGTCACGTCCACGTCCACGTCCACGTCCACGTCACGTCCATGTCACGTCCACGTCCACGTCCATGTCCACGTCCACGTCCACGTCCACGTCCACGTCCACGTCCATGTCCACGTCCACGTCCACGTCCACGTCCACGTCCACGTCCACGTCCACGTCCACGTCCACGTCCACGTCCATGTCCACGTCCACGTCCACGTCCATGTCCACGTCCACGTCCACGTCCACGTCCACGTCCATGTCCACGTCCATCCACGTCCACGTCCACGTCCACGTCCACGTCATGTCCACGTCCACGTCCACGTCCATGTCCCCGTCCACGTCCACGTCCACGTCCACGTCCACGTCCACGTCCACGTCCACGTCCACGTCCACGTCCATGTCCACGTCCACGTCCACGTCCACGTCCACGTCCACGTCCACGTCCACGTCCACGTCCACGTCCACGTCCACGTCCACGTCCACGTCCACGTCCACGTCCACGTCCACGTCCATGTCCACGTCCACGTCCACGTCCACGTCCACGTCCACGTCCACGTCCATGTCCACGTCCACGTCCACGTCCACGTCCACGTCCATGTCCACGTCCACGTCCACGTCCACGTCCATGTCCACGTCCACGTCCACGTCCACGTCCATGTCCACGTCCACGTCCACGTCCACGTCCACGTCCACGTCCACGTCCATGTCCACGTCCACGTCCACGTCCACGTCCACGTCCACGTCCACGGTCCACGTCCACGTCCACGTCCACGTCCACGTCCACGTCCACGTCCACGTCCACGTCCACGTCCACGTCCACGTCCATGTCCACGTCCACGTCCACGTCACGTCCACGTCCACGTCCACGTCCACGTCCACGTCCACGTCCACGTCCACGTCCACGTCCATGTCCACGTCCACGTCCACGTCCACGTCCACGTCCACGTCCATGTCCACGTCCACGTCCACGTCCATGTCCACGTCCACGTCCACGTCCATGTCCACGTCCACGTCCACGTCCACGTCCACGTCCATGTCCACGTCCACGTCCATGTCCACGTCCACGTCCACGTCCACGTCCACGTCCACGTCCACGTCCACGTCCACGTCCACGTCCACGTCCACGTCCACGTCCACGTCCATGTCCACGTCCACGTCCACGTCCACGTCCACGTCCATGTCCACGTCCACGTCCACGTCCATGTCCACGTCCACGTCCACGTCCATGTCCACGTCCACGTCCACGTCCATGTCCACGTCCACGTCCACGTCCACGTCCATGTCCACGTCCACGTCCACGTCCATGTCCACGTCACGTCCACGTCCACGTCCACGTCCACGTCCACGTCCACGTCCATGTCCACGTCCACGTCCACGTCCACGTCCATGTCCACGTCCACGTCCACGTCCACGTCCATGTCCACGTCCACGTCCATGTCCACGTCCACGTCCACGTCCACGTCCATGTCCACGTCCACGTCCACGTCCACGTCCACGTCCACGTCCACGTCCACGTCCACGTCCACGTCCACGTCCACGTCCACGTCCACGTCCAGTCCACGTCCACGTCACGTCCACGTCCACGTCCACGTCCACGTCAGTCCACGTCCACGTCCACGTCCACGTCCATGTCCACGTCCACGTCCACGTCCATGTCCACGTCCACGTCCACGTCCACGTCCACGTCCACGTCCACGTCCACGTCCACGTCCACGTCCACGTCCACGTCCACGTCCACCTCCACGTCCACGTCCACGTCCACGTCCACGTCCACGTCCACGTCCACGTCCACGTCCACGTCCACGTCCACGTCCACGTCCACGTCCACGTCCACGTCCACGTCCACGTCCACGTCCACGTCCACGTCCACGTCCACGTCCCGTCCACGTCCACGTCCACGTCCACGTCCACGTCCACGTCCACGTCCACGTCCACGTCCACGTCCACGTCCACGTCCACGTCCACGTCCATGTCCACGTCCACGTCCACGTCCACGTCCACGTCCACGTCCATGTCCACGTCCACGTCCACGTCCACGTCCACGTCCACGTCCACGTCCACGTCCACGTCCACGTCCACGTCCACGTCCACGTCCACGTCCACGTCCACGTCCACGTCCACGTCCACGTCCACGTCCACGTCCATGTCCACGTCCACGTCCACGTCCACGTCCACGTCCACGTCCACGTCCACGTCCACGTCCATGTCCACGTCCACGTCCACGTCCACGTCCACGTCCACGTCCACGTCCATGTCCACGTCCACGTCCACGTCCACGTCCACGTCCACGTCCACGTCCACGTCCATGTCCACGTCCACGTCCACGTCCACGTCCACGTCCACGTCCACGTCCACGTCCACGTCACGTCCACGTCCACGTCCACGTCACTCCACGTCCACGTCCATGTCCACGTCCACGTCCACGTCCATGTCCACGTCCACGTCCACGTCCACGTCCACGTCCACGTCCACGTCCACGTCCACGTCCACGTCCACGTCCATGTCCACGTCCACGTCCACGTCCACGTCAGGTCCACGTCCACGTCCACGTCCACGTCCACGTCCACGTCCACGTCCACGTCCACGTCCACGTCCATGTCCACGTCCAAGTCCACGTCCACGTCACGTCCACGTCCACGTCCATGTCCACGTCCAAGTCCACGTCCACGTCCACGTCCACGTCCACGTCCACGTCCACGTCCATGTCCACGTTCACGTCCACGTCCACGTCCACGTCCACGTCCACGTCCACGTCCACGTCCACGTCCACGTCCACGTCCACGTCCACGTCCACGTCCACGTCCACGTCCACGTCCACGTCCACGTCCATGTCCACGTCCACGTCCACGTCCACGTCCACGTCCACGTCCACGTCCACGTCCACGTCCACGTCCACGTCCACGTCCACGTCCACGTCCACGTCCACGTCCACGTCCATGTCCACGTCCACGTCCGCGTCCACGTCCACGTCCACGTCCACGTCCACGTCCACGTCCACGTCCACGTCCACGTCCATGTCCACTCCACGTCCATGTCCACGTCCACGTCCACGTCCACGTCCACGTCCATGTCCACGTCCTTGTCCACGTCCACGTCCACGTCCATGTCCACGTCCACGTCCACGTCCACGTCCACGTCCACGTCCACGCCCACGTCCACGTCCACGTCCACGTCCACGTCCACGTCCACGTCCACGTCCACGTCCACGTCCACGTCCACGTCCACGTCCACGTCCACGTCCACGTCCACGTCCACGTCCACGTCCACGTCCACGTCCACGTCCACGTCCACGTCCTGTCCACGTCCACGTCCACGTCCACGTCCACGTCCACGTCCACGTCCACGTCCACGTCCACGTCCAGTCCACGTCCACGTCCATGTCCACGTCCACGTCCACGTCCACGTCCATGTCCACGTCCACGTCCACGTCCACGTCCACGTCCACGTCCACGTCCACGTCCACGTCCACGTCCACGTCCACGTCCACGTCCACGTCCACGTCCACGTCCACGTCCACGTCCACGTCCACGTCCACGTCCACGTCCACGTCCACGTCCACGTCCACGTCCACGTCCGTCCACGTCCACGTCCACGTCCACGTCCACGTCCACGTCCGTCCACGTCCACGTCCACGTCCACGTCCACGTCCACGTCCACGTCCATGTCCACGTCCACGTCCACTCCCTCCACGTCCACGTCCATGTCCACGTCCACGTCCACGTCCACGTCCACGTCCACGTCCACGTCCACGTCCACGTCCACGCCATGTCCACGTCCACGTCCACGTCCACGTCCATGTCCACGTCCACGTCACGTCCACGTCACGTCCACGTCCACGTCCACGTCACGTCCACGTCCATGTCCACGTCCACGTCCACGTCCACGTCCACGTCCACGTCCATGTCCACGTCCACGTCCACGTCACATCCACGTCCACGTCCACGTCCACGTCCACGTCCATGTCCACGTCCACGTCCACGTCCACGTCCAGTCCACGTCCACGTCCACGTCCACGTCCACGTCCACGTCCACGTCCACGTCCACGTCCACGTCCACGTCCACGTCCACGTCCATGTCCACGTCCACGTCCACGTCCACGTCCATGTCCACGTCCACGTCCACGTCCACGTCCACGTCACGTCCACGTCCATGTCCACGTCCACGTCCACGTCCACGTCCATGTCCACGTCCACGTCCACGTCCACGTCCACGTCCACGTCCACGTCCACGTCCACGTCCACGTCCACGTCCATGTCCACGTCCACGTCCACGTCCACGTCCACGTCCATGTCCACGTCCACGTCCACGTCCACGTCCATGTCCACGTCCACGTCCACGTCCACGTCCACGTCCACGTCCACGTCCATGTCCACGTCCACGTCCACGTCCACGTCCACGTCCACGTCCACGTCCACGTCCACGTCCACGTCCATGTCCACGTCCACGTCCACGTCCACGTCCACGTCCACGTCCACGTCCACGTCCACGTCCATGTCCACGTCCACGTCCACGTCCACGTCCACGTCCACGTCCACGTCCACGTCCACGTCCACGTCCATCCACGTCCACGTCCACGTCCACGTCCAGTCCACGTCCACGTCCACGTCCATGTCCACGTCCACGTCCACGTCCACGTCCACGTCCACGTCCACGTCCACGTCCACGTCCACGTCCACGTCCACGTCCGTCCACGTCCACGTCCACGTCCACGTCCACGTCCACGTCCATGTCCACGTCCACGTCCACGTCCGTCCATGTCCACGTCCACGTCCACGTCCACGTCCACGTCCACGTCCACGTCCACGTCCATGTCCACGTCCATGTCCACGTCCACGTCCACGTCCATGTCCACGTCCACGTCCACGTCCACGTCCACGTCCACCCCACGTCCACGTCCACGTCCACGTCCACGTCCACGTCCACGTCCACGTCCACGTCCATGTCCACGTCCACGTCCACGTCCATGTCCACGTCCACGTCCACGTCCACGTCCACGTCCATGTCCACGTCCACGTCCATGTCCACGTCCACGTCCACGTCCACGTCCACGTCCACGTCCACGTCCACGTCCATGTCCACGTCCACGTCACGTCCACGTCCATGTCCACGTCCACGTCCACGTCCACGTCCACGTCCACGTCCACGTCCACGTCCACGTCCACGTCCACGTCCACGTCCACGTCCACGTCCACGTCCACGTCCACGTCCACGTCCACGTCCACGTCCACGTCCATTCCACGTCCATGTCACGTCCACGTCCACGTCCATGTCCACGTCCACGTCCACGTCCACGTCCACGTCCACGTCCACGTCCACGTCCATGTCCACGTCCACGTCCACGTCCATGTCCACGTCCACGTCCACGTCCACGTCCACGTCCATGTCCACGTCCACGTCCACGTCACGACCTGTCCACGTCCACGTCCATGTCCACGTCCACGTCCACGTCCACGTCCACGTCCACGTCCACGTCCACGTCCACGTCCACGTCCACGTCCACGTCCACGTCCACGTCCACGTCCACGTCCACGTCCACGTCCACGTCCACGTCCAAGTCCACGTCCACGTCCACGTCCACGTCCACGTCCACGTCCACGTCCGTCCATGTCCACGTCCACGTCCACGTCCATGTCCACGTCCACGTCCACGTCCACGTCCACGTCCATGTCCACGTCCACGTCCACGTCCATGTCCACGTCCACGTCCACGTCCATGTCCACGTCCACGTCCACGTCAGTCCACGTCCACGTCCACGTCCACGTCCACGTCACGTCCACGTCCACGTCCACGTCCACGTCCACGTCCATGTCCACGTCCACGTCCACGTCCACGTCCATGTCCACGTCCACGTCCATGTCCACGTCCACGTCCACGTCCATGTCCACGTCCACGTCCACGTCCACGTCCATGTCCACGTCCACGTCCACGTCCACGTCCACGTCCACGTCCACGTCCACGTCCACGTCCATGTCCACGTCCACGTCCACGTCCACGTCCACGTCCACGACCATGTCCACGTCCACGTCCACGTCCACGTCCACGTCCACGTCCACGTCCACGTCCACGTCCACGTCCATGTCCACGTCCACGTCCACGTCCACGTCCACGTCCACGTCCACGTCCACGTCCACGTCCACGTCCACGTCCACGTCCCACGTCCACGTCCACGTCCAGTCCACGTCCACGTCCACGTCCACGTCCACGTCCACGTCACGTCCACGTCCACGTCCACGTCCACGTCCACGTCCATGTCCACGTCCACGTCCACGTCCATGTCCACGTCCACGTCCACGTCCATGTCCATGTCCACGTCCACGTCCACGTCCACGTCCACGTCCACGTCCATGTCCACGTCCACGTCCACGTCCACGTCCACGTCCACGTCACGTCCACGTCCACGTCCATGTCCACGTCCACGTCCACGTCCACGTCCACGTCCACGTCCACGTCCACGTCCACGACCATGTCCACGTCCACGTCCACGTCCACGTCCACGTCCATGTCCACGTCCACGTCCACGTCCACGTCCACGTCCACGTCCAAGTCCACGTCCACGTCCACGTCCAGTCCACGTCCACGTCCACGTCCACGTCCATGTCCACGTCCAAGTCCACGTCCACGTCCACGTCCACGTCCACGTCCATGTCCACGTCCACGTCCACGTCCACGTCCACGTCCACGTCCACGTCCACGTCCACGTCCACGTCCACGTCCACGTCCATGTCCACGTCCACGTCCACGTCCACGTCCATGTCCACGTCCAAGTCCACGTCCACGTCCACGTCCACGTCCACGTCCACGTCCACGTCCACGTCCACGTCCACGTCCACGTCCACGTCCACCGTCCACAACCGTCCACGTCCACGTCCACGTCCACGTCCACGTCCACGTCCACGTCCACGTCCACGTCCACGTCCATGTCCACGTCCACGTCCACGTCCACGTCCACGTCCACGTCCACGTCCACGTCCACGTCCACGTCCACGTCCACGTTCCATGTCCACGTCCACGTCCACGTCCGTCCATGTCCACGTCCACGTCCACGTCCATGTCCAATCCACGTCCACGTCCACGTCCACGTCCACGTCCACGTCCACGTCCACGTCCACGTCCACGTCCATGTCCACGTCCACGTCCACGTCCACGTCCACGTCCACGTCCACGTCCATGTCCACGTCCACGTCCACGTCCACGTCCACGTCCATGTCCACGTCCACGTCCACGTCCACGTCCACGTCCACGTCCACGTCCACGTCCACGTCCACGTCCACGTCCATGTCCACGTCCACGTCCACGTCCACGTCCACGTCCATGTCCACGTCCACGTCCACGTCCACGTCCACGTCCATGTCCACGTCCACGTCCACGTCCATGTCCACGTCCACGTCCACGTCCACGTCCACGTCCACGTCCACGTCCACGTCCATGTCCACGTCCACGTCCACGTCCACGTCCATGTCCACGTCCACGTCCACGTCCATGTCCACGTCCACGTCCACGTCCATGTCCACGTCCACGTCCACGTCCACGTCCAGTCCACGTCCACGTCCACGTCCACGTCCATGTCCACGTCCACGTCCACGTCCACGTCCATGTCCACGTCCACGTCCATGTCCACGTCCACGTCCACGTCCACGTCCATGTCCACGTCCACGTCCACGTCCACGTCCACGTCCACGTCCACGTCCACGTCCACGTCCACGTCCACGTCCACGTCCACGTCCACGTCCACGTCCACGTCCACGTCCACGTCCACGTCACGTCCACGTCCTCCACGTGTCCACGTCCACGTCCCACGTCCATGTCCACGTCACACGTTCCACGTCCCACGTCGTCCACGTTTCCACGTCCACGTCCACGTCCACGTCCACGTCCGTCCATGTCCACGTCCACGTCCACGTCCATGTCCACGTCCACGTCCACGTCCACGTCCACGTCCATGTCCACGTCCACGTCCACGTCCATGTCCACGTCCACGTCCACGTCCATGTCCACGTCCACGTCCACGTCCACGTCCACGTCCACGTCCACGTCCACGTCCACGTCCACGTCCACGTCACGTCCACGTCCACTCCACGTCCACGTCCACGTCCACGTCCACGTCCACGTCCATGTCCACGTCCACGTCCACGTCCACAAGTCCACGTCCACGTCCACGTCCACGTCCACGTCCACGTCCACGTCCAGTCCACGTCCACGTCCACGTCCACGTCCATGTCCACGTCCATGTCCACGTCCACGTCCACCTCAAGTCCACGTCCACGTCCACGTCCACGTCCACGTCCACGTCCATGTCCACGTCCACGTCCACGTCCATGTGTCCACGTCCACGTCCACGTCCACGTCCACGTCCATGTCCACGTCCACGTCCACGTCCACGTCCACGTCCACGTCCAGGTCCACGTCCACGTCCACGTCCACGTCCATGTCCACGTCCACGTCCACGTCCATGTCCACGTCCACGTCCACGTCCACGTCCACGTCCATGTCCACGTCCACGTCCACGTCCACGTCCACGTCCACGTCCACGTCCATGTCCACGTCCACGTCCACGTCCATGTCCACGTCCACGTCCACGTCCACGTCCACGTCCACGTCCACGTCCACGTCCACGTCCACGTCCACGTCCACGTCCACGTCCACGTCCACGTCCACGTCCACGTCCACGTCCACCTCACCACGTCCACGTCCATGTCCACGTCCACGTCCACGTCCATGGTCCACGTCCACGTCCACGTCCACGTCCATGTCCACGTCCACGTCCACGTCCACGTCCACGTCCACGTCCACGTCCACGTCCACGTCCACGTCCACGTCCACGTCCACGTCCACGTCCACGTCCACGTCCACGTCCATGTCCACGTCCACGTCCACGTCCACGTCCACGTCCACGTCCACGTCCACGTCCACGTCCACGTTCCACGTCCACGTCCATGTCCACGTCCACGTCCACGTCCACGTCCACGTCCACGTCCACGTCCACGTCCACGTCCACGTCCACGTCCATGTCCACGTCCACGTCCACGTCCACGTCCACGTCCACGTCCACGTCCACGTCCACGTCCACGTCCATGTCCACGTCCACGTCCACGTCCACGTCCACGTCCACGTCCACGTCCACGTCCACGTCCACGTCCACGTCCACGTCCACGTCCATGTCCACGTCCAAGTCCACGTCACGTCCACGTCCACGTCCACGTCCACGTCCACGTCCACGTCCACGTCCACGTCCACGTCCACGTCCACGTCCACGTCCACGTTCATGTCCACGTCCACGTCCACGTCCACGTCCATGTCCACGTCCATGTCCACGTCCACGTCCACGTCCATGTCCACGTCCACGTCCACGTCCATGTCCACGTCCACGTCCACGTCCACGTCCACGTCCATGTCCACGTCCACGTCCACGTCCACGTCCACGTCCACGTCCACGTCCACGTCCACGTCCACGTCCACGTCCACGTCCATGTCCACGTCCACGTCCACGTCCACGTCCACGTCCACGTCCACGTCCACGTCCACGTCCACGTCCATGTCCACGTCCACGTCCACGTCCACGTCCATGTCCACGTCCACGTCCACGTCCACCAGTCCACTGTCCACGTCCACGTCCACGTCCACGTCCACGTCCATGTCCACGTCCACGTCCACGTCCACGTCCATGTCCACGTCCACGTCCATGTCCACGTCCACGTCCACGTCCACGTCCATGTCCACGTCCACGTCCCAGTCCACGTCACGTCCACGTCCACGTCCACGTCCACGTCCACGTCCACGTCCACGTCCACGTCCACGTCCACGTCCACGTCCACGTCCACGTCCACGTCCACGTCCACCACGTCCACGTCCACGTCCACGTCCGTCCACGTCCACGTCCACGTCCACGTCCACGTCCACGTCCGTCCACGTCCACGTCCACGTCCACGTCCACGTCCAGTCCACGTCCATGTCACGTCCACGTCCACGTCCACGTCCACGTCCACGTCCCGTCCACGTCCACGTCCACGTCCACGTCACGTCCACGTCCATGTCCACGTCCACGTCCACGTCCACGTCCACGTCCATGTCCACGTCCACGTCCGTGTCCACGTCCACGTCCACGTCCACGTCCACGTCCACGTCCACGTCCACGTCCACGTCCACGTCCACGTCCACGTCCACGTCCACGTCCACGTCCACGTCCACGTCCACGTCCACGTCCATGTCCACGTCCACGTCCACGTCCATGTCCACGTCCACGTCCACGTCCACGTCCACGTCCACGTCCACGTCCACGTCCATGTCCACCTCCACGTCCACGTCCACGTCCACGTCCACTCCACGTCCACGTCCACGTCCACGTCCACGTCCACGTCCACGTCCATGTCCACGTCCACGTCCACGTCCACGTCCACGTCCACGTCCACGTCCACGTCCACGTCCACGTCCACGTCCATGTCCACGTCCACGTCCACGTCCACGTCCATGTCCACGTCCACGTCCACGTCCACGTCCACGTCCACGTCCACGTCCACGTCCACGTCCACGTCCACGTCCATGTCAACTCCACGTCACCGTCCACGTCCACGTCCATGTCCACGTCCACGTCCACGTCCACGTCCATGTCCACGTCCACGTCCACGTCCACGTCCACGTCCACGTCCACGTCCATGTCCACGTCCACGTCCACGTCCATGTCCACGTCCACGTCCACGTCCACGTCCACGTCCACGTCCATGTCCACGTCCACGTCCACGTCCACGTCCATGTCCACGTCCACGTCCACGTCCACGTCCATGTCCACGTCACGTCCACGTCCACGTCCACGTCCATGTCCACGTCCACGTCCACGTCCACGTCCACGTCCACGTCCACGTCCATTCCACGTCCACGTCCACGTCCACGTCCATGTCCACGTCCACGTCCACGTCCAGTCCACGTCCACGTCCACGTCCACGTCCACGTCCAGTCCACGTCCACGTCCACGTCACGTCCACGTCCAAGTCCACGTCCACGTCCACGTCCACGTCCACGTCCACGTCCACGTCCGTCCATGTCCACGTCCACGTCCACGTCCACGTCCATGTCCACGTCCACGTCCACGTCCACGTCCACGTCCATGTCCACGTCCAGTCCACGTCCATGTCCACGTCCACGTCCACGTCCACGTCATGTCCACGTCCACGTCCACGTCCACGTCCACTCCACGTCCATGTCCACGTCCACGTCCACGTCCATGTCCACGTCCACGTCCACGTCCATGTCCACGTCCACGTCCACGTCCACGTCCACGTCCATGTCCACGTCCACGTCACGTCCACGTCCACGTCCACGTCCATGTCCACGTCCCCGTCCACGTCCACGTCCACGTCAGTCCACGTCCACGTCCACGTCCACGTTCACGTCCACGTCCACGTCCACGTCCACGTCCACGTCCACGTCCACGTCCACGTCCACGTCCATGTCACTCCACGTCACACCACGTCCATGTCCACGTCCACGGTCCACGTCCACGTCCATCCACGTCCACGTCCTCCACGTCCACGTCCACGTCCACGTCCACGTCCACGTCCTCCACGTCCATGTCCACGTCCACGTCCACGTCCACGTCCACGTCCACGTCCACGTCCACGTCCAGTCCACGTCCACGTCCACGTCCACGTCCACGTCCACGTCCACGTCCACGTCCACGTCCACGTCCATGTCCACGTCCATGTCCATGTCCACGTCCACGTCCACGTCCACGTCCATGTCCACGTCCACGTCCACGTCCACGTCCACGTCCACGTCCACGTCCACGTCCACGTCCACGTCCACGTCAACGTCCACGTCCACGTCCACGTCCACGTCCACGTCCACGTCACGTCCATGTCCACGTCCACGTCCACGTCCGTCCATGTCCACGTCCACGTCCACGTCCAGTACACGTCCACGTCCACGTCCACGTCCACGTCCATGTCCACGTCCACGTCCACGTCCATGTCCACGTCCACGTCCACGTCCACGTCCACGTCCACGTCCACGTCCACGTCCACGTCCACGTCCACGTCCATGTCCACGTCCACGTCCACGTCCACGTCCACGTCCACGTCCATGTCCATGTCCACGTCCACGTCCACGTCCACGTCCACGTCCACGTCCACGTCCACGTCCACGTCCACGTCCACGTCCATGTCCACGTCCACGTCCACGTCCACGTCATGTCCACGTCCACGTCCACGTCCACGTCCACGTCCACGTCCATGTCCACGTCCACGTCCACGTCCAGTCCACGTCCACGTCCACGTCCACGTCACGTCCATGTCCACGTCCACGTCCACGTCCACGTCCACGTCCACGTCCACGTCCACGTCCACGTCCACGTCCATGTCCACGTCCACGTCCACGTCCACGTCCATGTCCACGTCCAGTCCACGTCCACGTCCACGTCCACGTCCATGTCCACGTCCACGTCCACGTCCACGTCCACGTCCACGTCCACGTCCACGTCCACGTCCATGTCCACGTCCACGTCCACGTCCACGTCACTCCACGTCCACGTCCACG